GGCCTTTCTTACATTGCTGTGACCTCCTTTTGTGCCCCAACATAGACTCAAATCTTCTACCTCTAGGCCCTGCATGAACCCTCCTCTCCTTGGGGGTGGGAAGCAGAAACACATTCACTATGTGTAAGTAATATCTGAACCTCCAAGAACCATATTATTTTATGGAATTTGTGAGGTTTTTAATTTCTCCTTGTCTTCCTTTAATTTGGGGGGGAGCATTTTCTGGGTTTGTTAGTATCCTCAGACTAAAGGAAAAGCTCTAATACTGGGAGAAGCCCTTACTAGGGCTGGAGAGAAAAGGAGGAAACCATGTGTCTTTGGAGGCCGCAGGGTGAACAAGTGATAACCTCCAGGCCTCTGATGGAAACACAGTAGTGCCACCCACCTGCAGCCAGCCCATGGTTTCCCTCCTAGAAACTCCTTCTCATCTCCTACAGAATGGGTTTTTCTTGATTAAAGGGGTGATTTCCTTGCAATTCTCCTGCTTCTAAGGCTCACTCTATTGTATCATACTTCCTCCTTTATAATCTCTAAAATTCATAGGAGAAGGAAGAGAGAATGGTATGGGGAAAAGGTTGGAATCAGAGTCAGGAGGGCCTGCTTTCCACTAAGTAAAGCACTAACACATTTCTTTGGGGGGACATGTGGAGGCTCTGCCTGTTTCAATTTTAACACCTGAGAATCTGCTATTTTTTTTTAAAGATTTACTTATTTATTCTAGAGAGAGAGAGAACATAAGTTGGGTGGGGGGTAGGAACAGAGGGAGAGGGAGAGAATCCTCAAGACTTCCCACTGAGCACAGAGCTTGACACAGGGCTCGATTCCAGGACCTAGAGATCATGACCTGAGCCAAAATCAAGTCGGATACTCATCCAACTGAGCCACCCAGGCACCCTGAGGATCCACCATATTTTTAACTAGAGATTATCCCAGGACACAGAGCAGACCAAGATGGCCACAGCAATGGGTTCAAACCACACAGAACAATAGGTTTAAAATGTTGGCAGGTCTTAGGAGTAAGTGAGATGAAAGAAAAAGGAAAAAGGCCCTTTAGAAATTCATTTTATAATTCCCCATCACTTTATTGCTGGTACCTTAGGTCACTGAGCTAGACAAAGTCTTGTGAACAAGATGAGAATAGATAAATTCACTCACTGCCAAGCCTTCTTTCAAGTGGACAGCACTCATAATGAAGCATCATGTAGACACCTTTGGGAGAGGAGAGGGAAGGGATGTGTGGTGAGGCAGGGAGGGTTTTTGGCTACTCTGAAGACAGGCCATTCATCCCTGACCCCTTGCAGGAAGTGAAGTTTCAAGGCACTCAGTCAGTTCTTGCCATGCCAGAGTGCTCTCTCCCCCAGCAGCAGTGGGAGCTCCCAAAGATGGTGCCCATTCTCTTGAATGACCCCTCACTCTGATACGGCATCATGAGAGAGTCTGTTGTCCTTTGAGGAGCCCTCTATGACTGGGCCTCAGCAGTGACCTCCCTCCACAGTAGCAGGGCAAATGTGTGAGCTCCACACTGTCATCCAGAGAAGCCACGGGTTCTAGAGGACTGAGCCTTGAGTGGATGGCTGGGAGACCCAGGACTGACTATAGCTTCTCAGGTGACCTAGGACCTTGTTCCATCAAATGCGTAATAGGATTGAGAGTTACCTCTCTGGCTGGGTTCACAGAGTGAGTCACATGAGTTAATGTGGAAACTGTAAAGCACTGTGCTTATTGTGACAGTGGACATCATTGCTTGGGCTGCAGAGCCAGATCACCTGGATTCAAATTCTGGCTCAGATGCTTACTAGGAGACACTTCTAGCCTCTTAGGGAAATGTAAACATAATGATTGTACCAACCACGTAGGCGTTACGGTTGTGATGATTAAGTGAGCCAACAAACGTAATGCATCCAGAAGAAGGCTGAGCAAGCAGTGGGTGCTGAGACACCTTGCTGGGGAAGATCACTGGAACAGGGTACTTGGGGGCTCTTAAGACTGTGGCCATGGGGTTAGGTAGAAACTGGAGAACCTGTCACTCAAAAGCAACAGGCAGGGCGCCTGGGTGGCTCAGTGGGTTAAAGCCTCTGCCTTCGGCTCAGGTCATGATCCCAGGGTCCTGGGATCGAGCCCCGCATCGGGCTCTCTGCTCTCTGGGGAGTCCGCTTCCTCCTCTCTCTCTGCCTGCCTCTCTGCCTACTTGTGATCTCTGTCAAATAAATAAATAAAATAAAATAAAATTTAAAAAGTAACAGGCAATTTTCTTTCAAGTGGAGAATACATCTTAGTTTTGGAAACATCCCTGACTTAGAATTTTATAAGGGAAATGTAAAAAGCATAGGCCCCTTCTCCCACTTCAGGTGTATTGAGTGTCAAGCTGAACTTGTGGGGGTGGTGAGCTGTCCTCCCATGCGGAGGATTGCAGACACTTGGGTTTGCAGCTTTCCAGAAGCATTTCACACAGTGTTTTGACCATGACCCCAGGAAGAAATACATTCCACGTCATATGCACACACTCATACTCCAAACAACAGTTTCATGAAACTGTGCTTACACTTGCTTCCTTAATAAGCACACTGATACCTCTCTCTCTCTCTCTCTCTCTCTCTTTCTTTCTCTTTCTCTCTTCCTCTTTTGAGCAGGGGATATGCTGTTTGTAACCCAGTAAGTGGGTATCATGACCCACTGATGGGTCTGGACCTAGTAGTCTGAGAAGCTGTGCTATGAGGGAACCCACAGGAGGGGTCTGGCCTGACCCCAAAAGTGGCCCTTTCCCTTCCAGTTCTACCGCATGTGGTCCCTAAAGCTTTATGCCAGTTCTATCAGAAACTGCAGCCTGGTCTTCGCTCAGTCATGGGGTGTTCAGGAAGGGCTGCCCATACTGCAAATTAGAGCAGAGCCCCTTCTCTAAAGCCAGAGCGGCAGTCAGGACGAGCCACATATAGAGGACGGGGGGCTTTCCAGTTCAGCCTTAGCAGCAGCACACAGGGAGGGGCTGAGCAAGCAAGAACAGGGGAGTGTGCCCTGGACTGGGGCTAGCTGTAAGCTCTGCCCAATGACCTGGGTCCTCAGTTACCCAACCTGAGAAATGAAGGCCTGTGTCTCTGGGGATCTCACAGCAGAATAAATAGTCCAGGCCACAAAGCCTGGAAATCACTTTGGGGAGTGGAGAGACCCATTGTGGCACCATCTTATATGCAGCTTATGCAAGGATAAGGGGACCTGTGGAATGGTGTTTTTCAGCCTCAAGCTCTTTTTAAGCCAGATCTTGAGACCCTGAAAGGCTACTTTCCTCGTGGGCTCAGGTCGATAGAATCTTCACAGGTGTGATGTCACTCCATTGAGGCTGCCTCTCCCCTGAGTACTGGAGAGCCATGTGAAAGGAGCGCTGAGGAAGAGGCTGGTAGGAGAGTAAGGAAGTGAGGTCTAGTGACAATTCCCAAACCTTCCCCCCAGGATGATATCAGCTTCTAAAATCCCCACTCATGACTGGGACAGGACAGCAGCTCCAAATCCCTCCCTGTTTAAAAAATCGGAGCTGAGTTTGTTCACACACTTGACAAATATGTATTGAGTTAATATATGGCAGATACAGCAGTGGACATCAGACACAGATGTCCAAAGGCAAGGTCCCCATGCTCCAAGAGCTTATGGTCTTAGTGGGGGACACGGTCAATAAGTAAACAAGATCCTAGGCAAGAATGACAAGTGTTTTCAGGGAATAAGAAGGGTAAACGGGGAAGAAAGTGACTGGGGTAGGGGCCACTTTTGGTGGGACGGTAATAAGAATACATCTTTTGAGGAAATGGTGTTTGAATTTGATGAAAAGGTTTAAAGATCTCTGCTTCCCAAACGACGGTTTGAGAGCAAAATACAGATCCCCAGGCCCCATCCTAGACTTAGGGAATGAATATACCAGAGGCAGGGCACAGGGATTTGCATTTTGCCTCCAAATTATTCCCATGCACACTAAAACTGGACACCCACTGCCCTGTAGCCTTTACTTTTAGAGAGAGTCACCTTGGTGAACTTTTGGGACCCTTCCAAGCCCTGGAGACTGTGGTTCAGGGAAGGGAAGGTGTGTGAAGGGCCAGCGCAGAGAGGAGCAGGACTGCTTCCGGTCAGATGGCAGGATGCAGAAACACACAGGACCTGCCTTTCTGTGGCTGTCACAAGTTCTAAAACTGATCTAAAACTTCATCCCAGTGCCCATTCCCTCTTAATTTCACCTGTTGTGAGGAGAGGTGTGGTTTTAGCACCCTAGATTAGGCCCATCTCTTGCTCTGGGAACGTTTCAGACGGTTGGTTTGAACTCTTTCCAAGCATACTTTGTGATTCTTCCTGCATCTTGGCACCCCCAGCCCATCTGTCTGTCCTAGGTACCCTATGAGTTCTTCATGCTGTGGCTGCTGGGACCTGCTTGGCAACTGACTCCCTGGGAGCGTCTGGTTTTAAGTAACAGCAGCTGCTCCCAGAGCAACACCCACTTTATCACAGAGGACACAGGAGCCATGGGTCAGGCAAGTCTTCAGACTCCCTCAGCCTGTGTGGTGAGAATCAGGGTGCCCCCCCCCCACCGAGAGCAGGAAAAATCAAACCCAGGGTGCCTGCCTGCAAATGCTCTTTACCTCCTTCACTTCCTGCGCCTTAGGTCCCTCTTCCCCTGGCCTCAGTTTCCCCATCTATTCAATCTATCCAACACCCACCCCAGGATTGCTTTGGGAGGAGAAAAAGTGGGGTTGCTGGAGAAGCAGCACCTCCTACTCTCCTCTCCTCGCCCCTGCTCCTCCAGCGCCCGGTTTCTGCTTTCCGGCTGGGGGGCCTCACGGGCGGCCCTGCGCCTCAAGAATGCCCTCGTAGGCGTGTGTCATCGTCACGGGAGGAGGAAGAGGGAGAGGCGGCTGCAAGGTCGCCACCCTCCACCCCCCCGACCCCCGACCCCCCAGCGCCGTCTTCCGCAGCGTCGCCAGCAGCGGCCCGTGCCCCCGCGCGCTCCCGGCCCTGCCCGCCTCCGGCCTCGCGCGCCCGCCCCGGCGACCCTGCCGCTTGGAGCCGCGCCCCCGGGAGCCGCAGTGCCCAGCCGCCCGGGGCCGGCGCGGAGCAGGCGGCGAGAGGCGGCTCCCATGCGGCACCCGCGTGGCGGCGCGGGCGGCGGGCGCAGGTGACAAGGCGCCATGGGGCAGGCGGGCTGCAAGGGGCTGTCCCAGTCGCTGTTCGACTACAAGACCGAGAAGTATGTCATCGCCAAGAACAAGAAGGTGGGCCTGCTCTACCGGCTGCTGCAGGTCTCCATCCTGACCTACCTGGTGGTGTGAGTTCTCCGGGGGCTTTCAGGGAGGCTCTGGGCCCGGGAAATGGATGCACGGTCCCTGTGCTTGGGAAGGGGCTCTTGGGTGTAAGAGGGGCAGGTGAACAGGGAGCCCACTGTTTACCCCACCGGCTCTGGAGGTGATGAGATGCGGGCAGGGACTTCAGCATTCCTTCATTTATGAGGCTCTCCGTGGGCTGCTCCTTCTGGCTGGAACTCTGGGTGTTGGGGGAGGGGGGCAAAGATGCAGGGGGCTGCGCTCCAGCTGTTGCCCTGAGAGCCTCCCTGGTGCGTTGGCCTGGTGCAGGCCCGGGGCACCGGGTGGGTTATTTATAATCACTGAGCTCATGTGCCAAGCTCCTGGCTGGGGCAACTCAGCAGCCTGGCATGTCCCGGCACTCGCTTCTGTCAACTCACCCACCCGTGGCTGGCCTTTCTCGTGTCCGGCTAGGAGTCCTGCCCAGAGGCCCACTACCCCGCAACCGGCTGGATGGGCTGTCTCCCCTTTCCCCCTCTCACCATGAGGGGAGGGGGCAACTCCTGGGAGTAGCTCAGCCAGGCACTGTTCTGAGTCCTCCCCCCAGAAGGGAGGGAACAGGTGGAGCGAGGAAATGGCACCTCTTTTACTACCTTAGTGAATGCGGTTGAGTCCCTCCTATTTCCTGACTGGGGGAGGAGCAGATGGTGCTTCTGAGAGGGCCACCCTGACCTCACAAGGAGGCCAAGTGCCCATGGAGCTTCCTCCCTAAGGCACCTGAATGTCTTCCACCTGAGGGCCTTTGTACATGCCGGTCCACAGCCAGGCACACCTTTACTTCTCTACTTGGCTAAAGCCCACTTGTCCTTCAGACCCAGGTTCTTGAATCACTCCCCTGATATATTCCATAGGGATTGTTTGCTTGTCTGACTCCCATCCAGTTTGGGGATGCCATGAAGGCAGGCATAGCCTGGCATCATCTAACCACTTAGAAAGTAGGTGTGAAATGAATGAATGAATGCGTGTTGTTCCTTGGGCATTTGCTGAATGTTTCTGTCCAGGCTGGGTCCAGTGTGTCCCTACTAAAATGGCTGGTTGGCTCGTTGTCACAGCCCTTTCAGGTTTCCCCGGAGGGCAGGAGAGTCTAGGGCCTAGGATGTAGCAGGTCTGCCCCAGAGATGAAGAGGGTGAGCACATCCTGGTTGGCACCAAAGAACCCTTACTGGCACTCTGAGAGGTGCAGAACAAACCCCGCCCCCCCACTTGCCACTCCTGCATGACCTCAGGCAGGCTGCTTCCTGCCCTTCCCTGGCCTCCGGTTTTCCCAACTTTTTCTAAAGGATTAACCTGGACAATCTCTAACCTTAACAGTAAATGTCAACACTAGGTTGGTTAGATCCCATTTTGAGTTCTTCCATGGCCCAGCCCTCACTGTGCTAAGCAATTTATATGTGCCGTCTCATTAACAAAAAAAAAAATTTTTTTTTTTTTTTTTTTGTATTTTGACATTTTAGACTTACAGAAAAGTTACAGGAGTAGTACAAACTTTAAAAAAAAAAATCCTTCACCTAGATTCCTCAGATGTTAACATTTTACTACATTTGTGTTGTCCTTTCCCCTTTTTTTCTCCACATACACATGTTGTGTGTGTATATATGCACTTTTTGCTCTTGAAGAGTAAGTTGCAGGGGTGTCCATGTGGCTCAGCTGGTCGAGTGTCTGGCTCCTGATTTGGACTCCAGTCATGGTCAGCGGGTGTAAGATGGGATCATCGGGGAATATGCTTCTCTCTCTCTCTCTGCCCCCACTTGCATGCTCTCTCTCCAATAAATAAGTGAATGAATAACTCTTTTTTAAAAAAGAGTAGGTTGTAGACATTATGCCCCTTTACTACTAAAGACTTAAGTGCATATTTGTTTTTTGGTTTTTTTTTTTTAAAGATTTTGTTTGTTTATTTGACACGTAGGCAGAGAGGCAGGCAGAGAGAGGAGGGGAAGCAGGCTCCCTGCTGGGCTCAATCCCAGGACCCTGAGATCATGACCTGAGCTGAGGCAGAGGCTTAACCCAATTGAGCCACCCAGGTGTCCCTTGAATGCGTATTTCTTAAAACCAAGGAATTCTCTTATTTAACCAAGTACACCTATGAAATCATTAACACTGAAACAATATTATTTTCTAATCTATGGATCTCTTGTAAATTGCTCTTATAATTATCTGTAATAGCAAAAAAAAAAAAATTCTGAAAGCTTGCCTTGCATCTGTTCATTTTGTCTTCTTAGTCTCCTTTAATCTGGAATTATACCTGAGACTGTCTTGTATATCATCACATCGATGTTTTTTGAAAAGTAGAGGATTTTTATTTTATTACAACTTTTTAGTTGAAGTAAAATTCACCTAACATGTAATTCACGATTTTAACTATTTAAAATTTTACGATTCAGTGGTTTTTAGTACATTTGCAATGTTGTACAACTGTCAACCACTGTCTTATTTCAGAACATTTCCAACACCCCAAAAAGGAACCCACATCTATTAGCAGCCAGTTGGAATTTCCCCTTACCCCCAGCACTTGGCAACCACCAATGTACTTTCTGTCTCTATAGATTTACCTCTTCTGGACATTTTATATAAATCAAATCATACGACATGTGGTCTTTTTTTGGTGTGGCTTCTTCACTTAACATAGTGTTTTCCATGTTTATCCATGTGACAGCATGAATCAGTACTTCATTCCATTTATAGCTAAAAAATACCCACATTTTGTTTGGACTGTTTCTACTTTTTGATTCTCATGAATAACATTATGAAGGACATTCATGTGCAAGTTTTGGTGTGGATATATGTTTTCAGTTCTCTTGGATATATATTTTTGTCAGTAAGTTGCTGGGTCAACTACCAAGCTGTTTTCCACAGCAGCTGCACCAGCTATCAGCGAGTCCCAATTTCTCTGCATCCTCACCAACACTTGTTATTTTCCTTTTTTTTTTTTTTTTTTTAATTACAGCTATCTTATTTGGTGTAAAGTAGTATCTCATTGTGGCTCTGATTTTCATTTTCTTGATGACTAACGATGTTGAGCATCTTATCATGGGCTTATTGGCTGTCTCTATAACTTCTTTGAAGAAATGTCTACTCAAATCCTTGGCCCACTTTTAAATTGGGTTGTTTGTCTTTTTCATGGCTGAGTTGTAAGAGTTCTTTATATATTCTAGTTACTAGATCTTGACTCTATGATTTGCAAATATTTTCTCCCATTCTGTGTGTTATCTTTTCACTTTCTTGATAGTGTCCTTTGATGTACAAAAGTTTTAAATTTGGATGAAGTTCCACTTATCTATTTTTTCCTTTATTGTGTGTGTTTTGGTTGTCAAAGAATGTAGGATTTGTACTCTCATTTTGTAGAATGCCCCTTAGTTTGGATTTGTCAGTCTCTCCGTGAATAGTTTCAGGTTATGTATCATCTTCTTTAACTGTCTTCACACCCCTGGAGGGAGGCACTGTTACCCTGTGTTGACTCCCAGAATTCACTGGCTCTCCTGAGGTCACATCACCACGGCACAGGTGAGCAGGTTTTAGCCCAGCCTTCACCATCTTCAGGGCCTCAGCCCCTGAGAGCAGCCATTTTCTCCCTTTTCTGGGATTGCTGGCCACCTCTGCTGCTTGCAGAACCAGGTTCAAGGCAGCAGGGCAAATGTGACCCCTGCCCAGGAGCTGGTGGGAGAGGTGAAGCCCCTGTGGAAAATTCCGAGGACAGCAATGAGGCTGATGCCCACCTGTCGACCCTTTCCCTACAGTTGGGTGTTCCTGGTGAAGAAGGGTTACCAAGACACCGACACCTCCCTGCAGAGCAGCATTATCACCAAAGTCAAGGGCGTGACCTTCACCAACACATCTGAGCTTGGGGAGCGGCTTTGGGATGTTGCTGACTACGTCATCCCACCCCAGGTCTGAGTCCCATGCAGCACTGGGGCCTGGCTCGGGGTGGGACACATAGGAAGGTGCTCAGCTACCTAGGGACTCCCTTGGCCCAGGACAGCTGCCAGGGTTTGGACAGTGACCCTGCCCAGCTCCTTCCTCCCTGACTGTGTCTATGGGACCACTCCCTTCCCAATAAACCCTGAGCCTGTAGAAACCAAATAGGGCCCCAAGAACACTCAGGTCAGTGTGAGTCAGGTGGCCTGGCAACAGAGAACCGCTTCCTTGTATTAGCCACTGACTGCCCTTGGGAATGGCTCCCTGGCCTTTTCCCAATCGGCCTGGGCCAGGGCCTTGGCCACCCTGCCTGGGCCTCTTCTCCCAGATCTGGGTTTGGATCCCAGGGACTGAGCTCAGAATAGGGATTCAAGGAGGGGGCAGTTTGGGATTGTGGGCCTGAAAGGGACCTATCCAAGGATGTCTACTCAGAGACTTCAAAGTCAGTGGGCAAAATCTGCTGATTTTGTGGCCCCATTGTCCTCAACACCTATGCAGACACCCAACCCCTGCCAGGAAGCCTGGGAACGAGGGTCCCCAAGAGGGAAGGAGGATGTCCCTCAACTCCTCTTTGGTTCCTCAGGGAGAGAACGTCTTCTTCGTAGTCACCAACTTGATTGTGACCCCCAACCAGCGGCAGGAAACCTGTGCTGAGGTTTGATGGGGTGCAGAAAGCTGGGGAGGGGGTAGGAGAGCTTCCAGCAGTGGTTGGGGTCCACCCATCTCCCGAAACAGGGGTTTCTATCTCCTCTAAGTGCCCCAGGGGATACGTGTGCCAGAGCATGTACCTGCATTGCTTGGGGGAGAAGCAGGTTCTCAAAGGGTGTGTAGCCCCACTCAGGGGAGGAACACCTGTCCTAATTCCTGGGGTGGGACCTGGTTCTGAACTGGGGCCCCTGCGGGGAAATCCCCCCACCCAGGTGTCCTTTCTTTCTGGCAGAGTGAAAGCATTCCGGATGCCTGGTGCTACACAGACAGTGACTGTCCTTCTGGGGACCCTGTTGTGGCTGGAAATGGTGAGGCCTGGAATAGCTAGGGCTGGGAGCAAAGTGGGGAAAGGAGCCAGGAGGCTTCGAGCATTGTCTCAGTCCCAATCCTGCAGGAGTGAAGACTGGACGCTGCCTTCGGGTGGGGAACATGCAAAGGGGCACCTGTGAGATCTTCGCCTGGTGCCCAGTGGAGACGAAGTCCAGGCCAGTGTGAGTGGCTCTAGCCTCGGGACCCTGAAGAGCATCTGGGCAGAGACTGGTTCTCAGCCTGGTGGTGGAGACACGTCTACTCTGGATCCCCTTTCCGAGGAAACCCGACAAAGCCCCAGGACCATCCCAACATGATCAAATTAATGGTCCTTGGCAAAGGCTCCAGGGGATCCAGGGGGCAGGCAGGCCTCGGCCCTGTCACAGGCCTGGGGGATGTACAAAGGGAACAGGGGCAGGGCCTCCTGGACAGGCTGTCCTGGCTTGGTTTTCAGGAAGCCACTCCTGGGCAAGGCTGAAGACTTCACCGTTTATATAAAGAACTTCATCCGTTTCCCCAAATTCAACTTCTCCAAGTACGTGGGACTTGGTTACTGGGGATCTGGGGCCTGCCTCCTTGTCACTGTGCATGGGGCTGTGTGCCTGGTGTATGGGTGTATGTGACATCCGTGTGTGCGCGAACCACTGGGTGATGCTGGAGCACCCCTTCCTCTTGTTGTGGGAATGGGGTTCTGTCCTTGAATGCAGTAGGTTTTTGGGGGGACTACTAAGGGGATAGTAGTCAGGACTTGAGGCTAAAGTCAGGGACTCAGCCTGGGCCAGGGAAAGGCCCAGTGATGCCTGGGTCAAGCTGTCTCTGGCCTGGGAATGGCCCGTTTCAGCCTCATGTCACTATACATTCATGGCCTCCAGGACCAATGTGCTGGACACCAAAGACAGAGCCTTCCTGAAGTCCTGTCAGTTTGGCCCCAAGAACCCCTACTGCCCCATCTTCCGACTGGGATCTGTGGTCAGCTGGACGGGGAGCAACTTCCAGGAGATAGCCCTGCAGGTAGGTGCTGTGCACCGAGGGAGCCGTGCCTGGGGGCCCCGGGGGCCCAAGAGCTCTGGGTCTGGGCTCTGTCACGAAGAGGGAGACTCCTGGAGTGGGATGGACAAAGTCCATCAGAATTAGTCTTCAGACTAATTCTTCAGAAGACTAAGTCTTCAGAATTGTCTTCAGAATTAGTATGACACACAGCCTGTCAGAACTCAGGCACTCCGTGGCAGGCACACTGAGCACCTGCTGTTTGGTTCTCAGTCCTTGGGGCATCCGTGGAAACTGAGCCAGAAGAAGCCCCACTGGCACATCCTGGCTCTTGGATGAGGTGCCCATCCCATTGTAGGTGCTCACTCATGGAAGCATGGAACAGGAGAGTTCTGGGGTTGGGCGCTCTAGGCAGTGTGCTTTTCTCGGCCACTCCAAAAGTGGGGCTAGGACCCTGGAACTTCCACCTTCTTCCTGGAAGGACACTCCAGTGGGCCTGACCCTTGGCCTGAGTACTTTCCCGGTCTTGTCCAGCTCCCTGTGAGGAGCTGGTCTGTGTCTTCTTCCATAAAGTTCTGTGCACTGATTCTTGTCTCTTCTTTGTCAGGGTGGTGTGATAGGAATTCAGATTGAATGGGACTGTGATCTTGATAAAGCTCCTTCTGAGTGCAACCCTCACTATTCTTTTAGCCGTCTGGACAACAAATTCTCAGAAAACTCAATCTCCTCTGGGTACAACTTCAGGTAAGTGGGGCAGAGTTGTTGTCTTGTTATGCTGATCACATTTTGTCCTCTCCTGGATGTCAGCACTCTGACATTCCTTACTGGGCATGGGTATTAGAGTGGGAAGTAGAGGGAGAAAGAGCTGAGGAGAGATGAGGGATGGCAGGCAGGGGCATCACTGGGAGAGGAGAGAAGTTTCTGTCCCCCTCTGGGCTCACTGGGAAGCTGAGGCTTGGCTTCTTAGCTGGGTCACCTTCCTCAGTGCTTTGGTGGCCCTGGGTTGGCCCAGCATGTCATGGGAAAGCCCTTGCCTCTTAGAGAATGTCTGTAAGGATTTTAAGTATCTGGATGAATCTTTACCACAGTTTTAGCATGAGGATCCATAACCTCCCCCATGGCTGCTAAGAGCAGGGGCTTGGAGGTTCTTATAAATCTCCAAGGCAGCCAAGTGCACTTTGCCAAGCCGGGAAGGTCTCCGCTAGGTTTGCCAAATATTACCGAGATGGAGCTGGAGTGGAGTTCCGCACGCTGATGAAAGCCTATGGGATCCGCTTTGATGTGATGGTGAATGGCAAGGTGTGTGTGGTGATCTCCCATCCTGAGGCTGGGCAGGTCTGGGGTGGGGCATGCTGGAGTCCCTAGGGAGCCTACTGTCTGCCCTCCCCGCCCCCGCCCCATGTTCAGCCTGCTTTGTTTCTCTGTGCTCCAGGCAGGGAAGTTCAGCATCATCCCCACCATCATCAACATTGGCTCCGGGGTGGCGCTCATGGGTGCTGTGAGTACTCCCCCTCTTCACCTGAACCCTCTGAGCACTGGCCGGGGAGGGGGAAGCTGCTCGAGACGTGCCGTGCTGATGCTTCAGAAGAATGAGAGCAGGCAACGTAGGTGGGATGCAGGTCAGACTTTCTGGGACCCGACACCTGCCAGCAGCCCCCAGGTGGCAGTGACTGCCAGAGTTTCTACTTCCAGAGCCAGAGAAGCACCTGCCTGTGGCTCAAGCTCAAGGGCTGGGCTGGGCTCCTCTGGGATCCTGGGTCAGTCCCTGAATTTCCGAAGCCTCATCTCCACTGCTGCTAAAAAGGGGCAGGACCCAGCTATATACAGGGCTTCTCAGCTGTGGCCCTGATGACATTTTGGGCCAGATAATTCTTTTTTGTGGAGGGCCCTCTGTGCACTGGAGGATGGTTAACAACATTGCACTAGATACCTCTACTTGCTAGATGCCAGCAGTGCTTTCTTCCCCAGTTGGGACAACCAAAAACATCTCCAGAAATTGCTTGTCTCTTGGGGAGCAAAATCCCTCCCGTTGAACATCACAGGGCTGAAAGGGGAGCAGCAGGGAAGTCAGGCTGTAGTCCTTCCTCAGATCCTTTCCTTCAGCTAGGCCCAGAGGGGCTCACGGGAGAGGAAGCAGTGGCTGGGGAGTAGGCAAAGGTTTCCTCCGAATCTCTTTTCATGCCCCCATGTTCTTCTGGAAGTTTTTTTTAAAAGACATGGGAGCTGTCTGTGAGTGGCTCATGCCCATCCCAGCTCCAAGCCCCTTGCCAGCGTTTCTGGCAGCCTCGTCCTGTCTGCCCTCTCTGCCTTGTTAGAGGCTTCCGGCAGGACTGAGGATGGACTTTTTATTAAGACCGGGGAACTGTGTAATGGTATCAATGAGTAACAGGCTTCAACGAGGCCATTCTCCTGAGATGTGGTCGATGAAAGTGAGCCCCAAATGATTCCTCTTTACTGCAAAGAGCCACTGTCTTGCATGTTTGCTTATGTGACTTTCTTAAGCCAGGCCACTGTCAGTGATTACTTCCCTATGTTGTGGGTAAGTCAGAACACAAGGGCATGGGGTACGCACCTGTGAAATAAAGGTAGCAGGGAAAGGGGGGCGCCTGGGTGGCTCAGTGGGTTAAAGCCTCTGCCTTCAGCTCAGGTCATGATCCCAGGGTTCTGGGATCGAGCCCTGCATCAGGTTCTCTGCTCAGTGGGGAGCCTGCTTCCTTCCCTCTCTGCCTGCCTCTCTGCCTAGTTGTGATCTCTGTGAAATAAATAAATAAAATCTTAAAAAAAAAAAAAAAAAGGTAACAGGGAAAGGGGTATAGATGCCAGGTCAGGTGGAAGAGTGTTCTCTGTGGAACAACTGATAACATTTTGGACATCTCGGTGGGGCAGGGTTGGGGGAGAGTCATGCAGTACCCAGAGTCAGAGGCCCGGGTTCACCTGTGAGCCCATCTCTCAGCCCCCAATCCCCCTCACCCTCTCCTCAGCCCTGCAGGACACATCCCTTCCCCTGAGGGCTGTTGGGGGAGTGGCCCTCTGTGGCATTTACACCATGCACTCTGCCCGAGGCCCCTGTGAACAGTGTCGGTGGGTTCCAGCTGGATTAGCTCTGTCCTCTTCCATCTTTCCTTGACCACCCCTGTTGGCCCGTTCTTCAAATCCCCTCTGACCCATCTCTCACAGTGAGAGATGGGTACCAAAGGGACCAACCTAAATTTCTAAAATGCCACAATTCCGACTGCTTTGAGCCCCTGTTCAAGGCTCTTCATTGTCTTCCCCTAAGGGATTAGGACCAAAGTTTCAAAGGCATTGTAAGAAAATTTACCAGCTCTTCCCCATCCCACCTCTCCAGAAGTGTCTCTCACTTTTGCAACACGGGCCCTGTGGAATTTCCTTTGCTACCTGTGAAGTGCCCTTCCTGGGTGGGCTTTTTTTTCTTTTTCCTTTTTTCTTTTTCTCTTTTCCTTCTTTCTTTCTTTTTTTCTTTTTTTGCCTTGTATAAACTCCATTCAACCCTCAAGATTCAGCCCAGATAACCGTCCCCAGGCTGAGTAAAGTTCTGTCTTCTGCTTCCTTGCTCGGGTCCTTATCATAGGCTATGTCACTGTGATCGTTTACATACTTGTCTCCTGCACCCAAGGGACGGTCCCCACAGGGTCCCATTGTCTTAATCCTCCTGCATTCCAGTGCAGCACCAGTCTCGTGGTGACTGCCCAGCAGACGTTCACTGAAGACATGATTGAATGGGGTCAGGGCAGTGCAGGGGGTGCTTGGCCTGATAGAGCAGGCCTTCGCTCTACCATGGACCGGCTTTGTGGCCTTTGACAAAGGTGCCTCTTGCTGAGCCCTGTTTCCTCATCTGTTAACTGGGGACAATGATGTCTCTTAGGGGTTGGTGCAAGATCAGATGGGATGTACTATGTGTCATGTGTCAGGGCACTTTCTGGAAGTCTAGGATTCTGAGTCAGGAACCTCAACTCTTCTGCTGCAGGGAGCTTTCTTCTGTGACCTGGTACTTATCTACTTCATCAAGAAGAGCCATTTTTACCGAGACAAGAAGTACGAGGAAGTGAGGTCAGTGACGCTTCCTCCCCAGCAGTGTCAGGGGACCCTTGTGGAGCCCCCTTGATCAGCCTCCCCCTCCCCAGCCTAGAGACTTTACAGTGGTTGGATGGTGGCACTTGGGGTGTGGAGGGAGGCAGGGCTGAACTGCTGGGAGGGAGCTCCCCTGGAAGGGCCGTAGAAGGTGGGATGTTTTGAGAACGCGCTTTCCAGAACCTGGTGCTGCCTGTGAGCAGCTGGCTGGAGACAAACAGGCCACGCGCAGGTGATCTGCCACTGTCTACCATGTGGTTTCAGACAAGTCCCAGCCTTTCTTGGGCCTCAGGTTCTCTCTCTGTGAGCCTTCTAGCACTTAAATTTTCGTATTCTTGGACATGGTTGTCCGGTGGGCAGGGATTAAGGGAAGCTGGAGTGGTAAGGGAAGAAAAAGATGGATTTCCTGTTTTGTACTGTGGAGGTCTATTTCCGGGCTCTTTGGGGCCCCGAGCTTGGTGGTGTGTATTCATAGCTGCAGAACATAGTGTAAGTGGGAAATTCTGATGTCTGTGGGAAGATTGGAAGGAGAAAGGGACTCTGGCCCGGCCATTCTGGAGGAGTTGGGATCAAAAGGGGAATTGCAGATGGTGGGCTCCAGATAGGCACCTGGGCACCCCCTGTACCCCACCACAACGTGTCATTCCCCGGACTGAACCAGCCCTGAGTCAGGCTGAGCCCTTGGCCCTGACCCTGACAGAACTCTCATAGCTCTGCCACCACCCGCCCCCACCCCACTGCTGTGAGCTGCTGGAGGAAGAGGGGTGCCTCCCAACCCCTGCTGGGCTGTGCAGGCCAGGTTTAACTGGATCCTGTCCCGCCCAGAATCCTACGGGTCCCCCCGGGCCTTGCAGAGTCCTCACAGCAGGGCAGGACCCCAGAGGCAGAGGAGGCCGAGCAGCCTGAGGTGCACCACGGAGGCGGCAGCCAGAAGGGGAATGGCTGCCCATGCCAGCAGCTCCTTGAGCCTGTCAGGTGAGGGGCTGCAGGGCAGAGGCCCCGAGAATGAGCTTTGCAGAGATGGCTGGGCCCTCTGCTCTGCATCCTGCTCCCAGGAGAGCCCATCCACGCTGGACTTTGTGGGGAGGTGGTGCTTTAGCTCCTCCATTTTGCCCGTTATTTCCTCCATGCCCTTAAGTCCCCACAGAGCAGCCTGCTTGCTGTGCTCTCCCAGCATTAGGATCATAGCAGTACCACCGTCTACTCGGCTCACTCTGCCTGCCACTTCTCTGAGCTCTTCGTATGTATGAACTCGTTTCAGCAACTTAGGGAGGTGGACACCAATAGTCCCTATTCTTCTAATGAGGAAATGGAAACAAGAAAGGTTAAGTAACTTGCTCAAGTCACACAGCTGATAAATGGCAGAGCTGGGATTTGAAACGGCCCGTACATCTCTAGAATCCAGTTCTTCTCCATCAGGTTTTTCTGCCTTATCAAGCCCTCCATTCCCCTGCTCCTCATCAGATGCCTTCCTTGCCTGTCGCTGTGGGAGGCTCTGGGTGCCCCCCACGTACCAGCATGGTGGCTGCTGCTCATTGCCGGTACAGCTCCAGAGACGCCGAGCATCTGCGCGTGTCTGGGCGGTGGCCAGGGACTCGCTCTGTCTGCTGGGCTGCCAGTGAGAGGCTGCTGCGGGTGGGGTCTGCCTTTAGGGTGGCCGTCCCCATTCACAGGGTCCCCAATTGTCCTCTGTGTGCTCCCTCACCCATCTACACACAGGTCTGGCCACCTGGGGAACGGAAAGGTCGATGCGGAGCAGCTACAGAACCTGCAGACAGCGGAGGCCTAGCCAGAGGTATCCGCTGAGAGCAGATTTGCTGAAGATGTTGGGGCCAAGGCACCTGCAGCCCTGAACTGAAAATTGTCTTTGTGTCTGCATGGGACAGGGGCTTCCAGGCACTGCCATCTCTTCTACTCTTTGGGATCTTGCTATGGAGCTTTTTGTTCTGTGTATTGGGTGTGTGGCAGGGGTGAGGCAGCCTCCTAGTGGCCAGAGTGGCTCAGATCTACAAAAGGAGGCCTGGAAGAAGCTAGTGGGGGAAGGTCAGGGGCCTGGGTGGTACTAGAGTTCTTTATTTTTCTGAAATGAAAAATGTTCATGCATTCATTCATGCATTCATATGATACATATTATTTGCTATGGGCTGTGCCCTATCCAAGAGATGCTTAAATGAGATGCTGACCTGGCCCTCAGGGAGGGGAGCACACATGTAATTCCCTCCAGAGCCAGCAGACCTCACACCTAGCCTCAGCCACCCTGGCCTTCCTCCAGCCTCTGGTTGAGACTTTCACAGATCCCTGTTGAGAATGGTGGCTCCTTGGAGAAAGACTCTGGCTAACATCCAAGGGGACATTTGGCCTTGCCCTCAGGGAAAAAATTTAAAGGTGGCCGAGGAGGCAACCAGGAAAGGACTGGATGTGTGTAAGGAGGCAACTGGCCCCTGAGGGGAGAGGCAGCCTCTGAGGGCTTTCAGCTAAGGTGGGGAAGCAGAGGCAGGGAGGCCTCTGCTCCAGTCTATTCACCCAGTCTCTGGAAGCTTTGGGCATAGTGTCTCACCCAAATAGGAAAGCATCTGTCTGTATCTTGCAGTTCTGTGCAGCTGGGTGTCCCGACCTAGCCTCCCTCCCTTTCTCCTCCAAGGCTGGGTCTGAAGGGGTAAGGAGATACAATAGGTGGAGCTCACTTGGCCCGGAAGCAACTGTTAATAAGGCGGCCCTAACCCTCACCCCAGCCTCTCCTTCTCCACCCTGCTCCATCCCGCCTCCACCCTGCAGACCCAAGCTGCTTCACCCCTAGTGGCTGTAGAGCCTCACTACTTCAAGTGTGGCCTGTAGACCAGCAGCATCAGCCTCAGAACCTGTGTTTCAGCAAGATTCCTAGGTGATTCGTGTGAACATTATTGGTTGAGAGCCCTGGTTAAAGAGATATGCCAAGACTGGGTCCGAGGCAGGAAAAGGCTGGCTTTGACAGGTGCTGCCTATTTCTAGGCCAGACTTATACACGTTGTACTTGGAGAGCAATAGGATTCCACCCCACCCCAGGAAAGTGGCAAGCTCCGTATATTTCAATTAAAATATTTTGACTAGATAATACTTACATGATTCAAAAACTAAAAGGTACAAAAGATTATAGAGAATGAAAAGCTTCCCTCCCACGAGGCAACCTGTGTTACCCATTCCAAGAGGCTCTCCTGTTTTGCGGAGCATCTACGCAGTGGTTCCTTGTGCCCTCACACAGGAAATGAACTTTGCATGATGCTTGCAACATCAGACCAAGTCTCCTCTGTCAGAAAGGGACTCGATGGACGACACCTTAAGTACTGGGCTGGGGAGTCTGCTAGCTCATTTCTCCTTCTTCCAGTGTCTGAGGAGTCCCTGTGTAAACCCCAAGGGAGAGACTCAGAACTCATCGCTCACTGTTGTCTGATGGCTCAGGAACAAAGGCCTATGGTGCTGCCTCTGGCCTGGCAAGCTCCAGGGCTTTGTTTGCACAGTTACCCGGACGGACGCTAGGCAGTGTCCTCTTTGGAAGTGCTCTCTCTGGGCCTCCCTCAAGTCACCAGGGTTTGGTTTTTCCCTGCACACAGAGGAGGACAGAAGCATCCTTCCACTGGGGGCCTTTGGAGAAGGTCAGAGGGACCTGCAAGAAGGCTGTGCCCCTGGGGCAAAGAAGCATGGTCCCCCAAACAGCTCCATGCTCTACAAGGAGCAAGCAGCTCCCTCGTTCTGGGCTGGTAACCTGTCAACAAGCCCACTTGCTCTCTGAATCAAAAGTGAATAAACCGGGTGATCCACTATGGTGTTCACTTCCTAAGGCAAACCCTAGGATTTGATAATCTAGCATGTTACTTTTACATTTGGGAGGAAGTAAAAAAGGCAGGCATCATGGTTGCTTAGGAGTTAGTTGGTTTCTTTGAACCTGTTTTTAGAATTGCTTTGCAGCAGCCACATAACTTGGGGAAAGTTGTACTATTTGTCTTACATGGAAGGAAGTGGCTCCCTACAGTATTCATTCAATTAGTAAATATTTATTGGGTACCTGTTGACAGGTGTGGGACTAAATCTGAAAACACAGTTGTGAGAAACACTAAAACCGTCCCTGAGCAAGTGCTTACAGTCTGGGAGGAAGTGAGCCTTAATCCGTGGTCACGCCTATGATCACAAACTGAATTTTCAGTAAGGGATAGCCAGAGGTTTCCCCAAGGATTGTACATATAAGCTGAAATATGAAAGCAGTCTAACCAGGTGATGGGGAAGCATTCCAGATAAGGGAACCACACATGTATAAACACCTCAACATGAAAAGGAGTAACTGAGGAACTGGATGGAGACAGTGTGACTGAATCTGGTTTTATGAGGCTATCTTAACGTTTTCTGACTGATTTTAAGGGTTGCCCCATTAAACTTCACTGTCACAGAGGACTTAGCTTCCAGTCCAGCCAAGCTTTCCAGGAGACCTCCCCTACACTTCATGGGTTGTGTGCTCAGAAAAGCCAGTGACCCCGTTCCAGCTTCTGGATGGTGTTGCACACTGCGTTTCCTTGCTTTTGCACAGCAACCCCCCCTTTTTTGTGTAATCTTGGTACATGAGTGGGAAGCTCATGAATCTTACAGAAACTGGCTTTGAAATGGGAAGTGAAGTGGAACCTAAGCCCCATTGGGAAAGCCCCTTTCCTTCAGGGGATCAGTTGCCTATCAGGAAGATGAGCATGCCAGCCTCTCCAGAGCTCCCTTCCATGCTGACATTACAGGCTCACCTGAACCATCTATGCCTACCTTCAGGCCCTGGCCTAAAGCCATCAACCTGGTATTTTCCTAGTGATTAATGTCATGCCTTGGGAGTGCCATCCTGCTGGCCAATGGGATTTGTAAATTGCGTGCTACTATCAAGGGGACCAGCCATTAGAGTGTAATGTCCTCTACTCCTGATACAGGGGTCACTAGGACTGACCAGTCATGGCTGCCTTTCTGCCCCCACCACCCCATCAGTTCTTCCTTTCTCAGAGCTGTAAAGGGGAACGTGACTTCCTCCAGGAATCTGAGAACCCCAGCTAAAGACTATGGTGTCCTGCAGAGTCCCTAGATCATCCCACTTGGAATGGCATCTTGCATGTCTGAAAAAGAGTTCTACTTGATTGTGATCCACCCTCCCCCACCCAAGTAATGCAACTTTCCTCAGAGCACTCTCCAGTGGACCCTAGAGTACTGTCTGTTGAAAAGGCGCACCTTTCTTCCGGCTGTTTGTTTTCCCATAGGCCAGTGCACAGAATTAAAGGAGGAAAGATGGCAACCATTGTCTGGGACCTGCCCGGTAAATGTATTCTGGTATTTTTATCTGGTTATAAAACAATAAAAGGTTTTAACTTTAAATGTATCTTGATTTTTTTTCCCTTTCATATCTTTTTGGTCACTCTGTGTTTTAGAAGAAAATTTAAGGAGAAAGTGACACCAAGAGGCAGACACAGGAACAATCAATGAGCAACAGATTATGTTCCCTATTACTTGCAAAGAAATTCAAATGGAAGGAAGAAAACTCTTTCAATGAGCAAACATTAAAAGGCTAGGAAGGTACCATAAAACTGGTACTTTTTCATTCAATGAGTGTAATCTGATAAAACTCTGGAAAGCATTTGGAATCAAGTTTTTAATCTTTAGTTTATTAAGTTACTCAAAATGATATAAAGACATTCTCTGCAATATTTTTTTTTATAATAGTGAACATTTCAAACAACTTTACTGCCTAGTGATAGAGAAATGGTTAAATCAGTTTATTCCACACTGCCCCCTGCCCCCCACCGCCCCAACCTCCCAATCCAGTAGGACTGCCTCTTTACTCCCCATCAGGAATGAACTTTCCCTTTCCATGCAGAGAAAAGCCCTGAGAGGACAGGGAGGTTGAGAAGGGTGAGTATGTGTGTGAGTCTCTTCAGTGGTGTTCTGAGATAGGGTTCAGAGGTCATTGGGTGAGGCAGGCAAAGCTGTGGCCTCATCTGTCTTTCCTTCGTGTGCAAGGATGTGGTCCAGAACCCCAAAGAATTCATGAGGCCTGGGTCCCAGATCAATCTCTGTTATTGGCCATGGGCCACATAACTGTCTATAAAAGGGGACTTGGATTCAAGTCCAGATCCTCTTCTGATCTGATTCTTTTGAAAAAATCCAAATGTGATCACATCACTTCTGGCTAAAACTTCCAAAGGCTTCCTCCAATTGCTCTAAGGATCAAGGCCAAAATCTCCACTGTAGCCTTCCATGATCTGGTCCAAGTCCTGGTCCTGGCCTCTTAACTCTCCAGATACAGGCCAAACTCCTTCCTGCCCAGTGGTCCTCACACATGTGCTTTCTTGTGAAAGTAGCCCCTTCTTCATACTTATTATTCAACTTTGAGGTCTCAAATGTAATTTCCTCAAAGAAGAGTTTTTTTTAAGATTTATATATTTTGAGAGAGAGACAGACAGACAGCATGAGCACATGTGCTAGGGAGGGGAGCAGGGAGAGGAGAGCAGCAGACCCCCTGTTGAGCTCCTAGCCTGAATGTCCATCCAGCGACCCGAGATCATGACCTGAGCCAAATCAAGAGTCAGACACTTAACCGACTGAGCCACCCAGGCACCCCTCAAAGATTTTATTGATCCCCACTCCCCAACCTGGGCTCAGTTTGGGGCGATGTTCTGTCTTCCCAGCTTACCATAATTTAAATATTTGTGAAATTAGGTAACACTTGTCTTCCCAGTTAGACTACAAATTCCACAAGCAACATGTTCACTACTGTAACTGTAATGCAATATGTATTTCTCAAATGTCTGTACTTTATTCTAGGATACCCCCGACAAGAAGAGATCATGGGTTAGCATATAGACAGAAGCTTTACACTACAGTCTAAACAAGCCCAAAGTCTAGCTTAAATGTCTTCTATTTAATCTCCATTAGACATATTCTAGAAAAGAGCTTGACCATATTTAAAATGGAAATAACAGTTAACTGTAACTAGATGAAATGGAACTGTAATTCATAGCTGAAAGCAGCAGTTACTGAGGACAGCTTGGATATGAAAAGGTACACTCAGCAAGGACAGCAAGAGCAATGAAAAGACCTGTATTTCAAACTTGGCTCTCTTTCTAGCTGTGCCTCTTATGGCAGAGGTATAGTTAACCTGAGCCTCAGATTAATCAATGAGGGATAATAATTATATCTACCCCATAGGATATTGCTAGAATTAAATGAGATAATGGGAGTAAAAGGTACAAGGCACAATGCTTGGCATATAAGAAACGCTTAATATTAACTGTTACTAGTTCTTGGGATGTTAACAGAAACTTCTCTTTCCTTGGTCCATAGTGGCCCTCTCTGGATGTCCTATGTGTAAATACAAGGAAATTACAGAAGGCTAAGACCCAGCCCAACCTCTCTAGGAGTCAAAACTCAGCCTTCTGCACCTACGGCAGACATGGGGTATGAGTTAAGGGAGGAAAATACTCCACGGAGTGTCTCACGCTTCATTTAATCTGAAGAATATTACAGGCTCTTCGTCTTCAGATATAAATTATAACGTTACAGAACAAGCAGCGAATTCAACAACTTAAAAACTAAGTTTACACGGTGTTAATTTCTGGCGACAGTCCTCCCAATCTGTTGTTTTTTTTTTTTTAAAAAGTCATCCCTGCCTCCATTCAGTAGACGTGCACCATGCCATAGAGGAACGTCCAGAACAGGACGTAGGTGAAGAGGCCTCCGATGAGACCTCCTGTAAAGAGGGGTCTTCGTGATTTAAAGTATTTGTTCCACCTCCTTCCCGCTTTGAGAATTAAGAGCAGGGAGAGCAGGATGGAGGCAAGCAAGTAGAAGATGAAGCCGTAGAGGCCGGTGAGGCCGAGGATGCCGGCCGTGGCCCCCGACAGCGCTGACACTGAGGTCCGGCAGTAATCCAGGACGGCGGCGTTGCCTCGCACAGCTGCCTCGCTGATGAACGGCGGCCCTTCTCGCTTGGCCACCACAGCGGCCATCGCATTCGCCGGGGCTCAGCCTGTTTTTTCGCGGAGCTGCGGAGGAAACCAAGTTACAAGTGACCCCCAGAGCCTGGCGAGTTACGTTCACGGCGCCCCTCCCCCCGGGACTGCCAAGACCTCACACGACTCCTGGATCTCGGGCCTTCAAAAGACCCAGAGATTTGAGGGCTCGGGCCGGCCCACCCAGGCTCACCCAGTGACCTGCAACACGACGGCGTTCACAGACACTTGGCGTTCCTTCAGACGGCCAGCGGCAGAGAGCCGCTCAGCGCCATTTTGCGCGGGAGGTTGCTGGGAGGATCCACGCTGCGCATGCGCCAAAGCCTCGCTCTCGCCCCCTGACGCGTACGCCGCGGGCGCCCACCCCTCCCCCGCCTTTCTACGCTCCCTCCACTCCCCGCCTTTCTACGCACGCACTGGGACTTCCGAAAGCCGAACAGCGCTCCGACCGGTGACTGGCTGGGGCTTTGTTAACTATTCATGAAGGGGCGGCCCGAATCGGGGTGCCTTTGTTAACCCGGGAGGGCGCGGCTTCTGGGATTTTCGCTGCGGGCTTCACTGAGTTGGGCTTGGTCTCCAGATTGGGGTCGAGATGTCCTACGTCCCGGGCCAGCCGGTCACCGCCGTGGTGGTGAGTGCGCTCGCGGGCTTCTCTTGGTCTTGGCTTGCTCCCACTTTCCAGATAGGAAAACTGACACCCCAAACAGGTTGACAAAGCGTTGAACCCAGAGCTGTTGCAAACCTGCGGCCAGGGTTCCGGTCCCGGCTCTGTCCCAGCGGGACCGCGGTCTTCCCCAGCCAGGCAACAGAAATGGCTGGGACCCAAGCGCCCCGGAACACCCCGAACCGCGATCAGATCCCGCGCACTACCGCCACCTTGTTGGACTCCATCCAGCCCGCCGGGGCGGGAAGGACTGAGGAGAAAGTCCCCAGCTGTAGGAGTATCGGGAGAGCGCCGCCTTCCCGGCCCAAGTCCCCAGCTGGGTAGCTGTGGGGGGCGGGCGCCAGCCGCGACATCCGTGAGTCGAAGCCTTTGGAATGAGGAAATGCTTCCTCCCCTGCAGGAGACGCCGCCGCCGCCGCCACCCAGAGGGAGATTTGTGGGGTGGAGGTGGCCGGGGCCTGACTAGCAGTCCCTTATCCCTCCTGTCCAGCCTTGCTTGCTTGGACCCCGCGCCGCCCGCTCCAGAGTGGAGGCGCACGCAACTGGCTCGCTCCTGCTCCAAACTTTCCCTGCCTCCCCAGCCCCTGGGACAATGTCCAGGTTCCCCGCCTGGCACTGAGGAGACCAGACCCTTTGGGGGCTAGCTCAGGCCCCTGGCTCTCCCCACTGGCTTGTCTCGGGTGCCAAATGCTATTAGAAAAGGTAAGGGGAAGAAGAGACTGGGACATTAGATTCAGACACCAGTGCCAAAGCTGAATGGGGCCGGGAGGCAAACTCCGAGGCGGAGGTGGGGAAACTGAGTTCCGGAAAGAGGTCTGTTCACGTTCAGCCCTAAAGGAAGCCCTCAGGAAGAACCCAGATCTCTCTAAGAAGAGATGCCTGTTGGGTAGGCACTGTGTCAGATGGAAGTCCCAGTCCTGAAGCCACGGGACAGACTCCAGTATCTCAGATGGGTGTGCAGGGTAGTCAGGTGGTGACAGGGTGTGAAGCTACTGATTAAAGTGTCCTGTGAGGTTGACCTTAGAGAACCAGCTCTAAGCTCTAGCCTTAGCTAGTAAGAAACATTTCTGCATCTGCAGACAGCTGTCCTGCACTTCACCCTGACTGCACCAACCTTGCTTTTCTAGACCCCTAGCTGCCTCAAAGAGGGCCAGGTTTGCTTCTTAGATTGGGGGTGGGGGGTGGAGAGATGGGGCGTGGGAAAGGCAGTGTAGGGGAAGCACAAGAAAGGGGCAGTTACCTGCCTGGTAATCACCTAGTAAGTCTGGGAGAGGGCCTTGTCTTCCAGCCTAAGGGCGTGTACTCCCCTCTAATTTTGAGGGTGGGGCAAAGGTGTGCAAAGGTGTGTGTTGGAGGAGGTGGAGCAGGCCTGGAGGAATTCACACTTGGACACAAGGACCTAAGTCTAGTGGGCTTCCGGAGTCACACTTCCTGCTGCCCCTCTCTCCTGTCCTGGCAGGTCCTTTCGCCTTCCTCAGAACTCTAAGACCATGCCCTCCCAATTCTTGTTAACACTAGGAATACGTCTGAAAGTGGTGGGTGGGGTCTTCTCCCTCTGCTGTTTTGGATTGGGGATTGGGGATGGGGTAGGGGTGGCCTCCTCCCTAGTCCCTGCCTTATCCCATGTGATAAAAGGGGATACCCACATTTTGAGAATGTTAAAACCATTTTGGCTTCTCTGAACTGTGGCTTCATAGGTCCATTTGCCTTCTGGACACTTGCTTGGGTAGCTCCTGGCACTCCAAAATGCTTCTCCTTGTGTCCCCAGCTGACAGTTGTGTTCAGCCAGGCCACTTGGCTGGGTGCTCCCCTTGACTCCTCTCCACCACAAGCAGTCCTCAGGTCTGTTGATCTCACTTTCCAAGTAGTCATGTCCCATGTCCTCCACATCCCAAGGCTGGAAGATATCCATTTCCTCCTGAGTGCCCAACTGGTCGGTCGTTCTAGCATCAAACCTGACCATGACCAACCTTATCCCTGGACTCCTGAGAGCCCTAGTAGGCCCAGAATCAAAGTTAGGTGTCCAAACTCCTGTCATTCCTTTCAAGGTCTGGTTGATCCAGATCAAGTCACTTCAGGTTTTTTTTTTTTTCTTCCTGTTAAAACTCAACTTTTGGGGTGGGGTGATCTGGTCTAGCCCCTACACTCTGGTGATTGGAGGGCTCCTGCTGAGGGCTTTGAAAGGAGCCTAGCATTTTGGGGACCACAGCTGCAGAGTATGGTGGGAGAGCTCTAGAACCCTTTTCTGCCTCCTACATGCACAAGAGCAGGGTCTGGGCTTACAGAGAAACCCCCTCCCTCTTGCGCGTGTACTCCACAGCCTTTCTAATCCGGCCTCAGCCTCACCTCACCTCCCAGTCCTAGTCCTGTAGGGTACACTCATCTCATGGACACGTATCCATAGCACCTTCAAGCCTCTGCTCTTGTCCCTTGGCCAGGACCGCACTTCCTCTTCTTTCTGTGCAAGTTTGAACTTCTCTGCTTTTCTGGAGCATCTTTAGTCTTGTCCTTGACAGGGTTGGCTCAGCAATGAGCTGCCTCAACAAGGAGTACCTGCAGTTTTTTTTTTTTTTTTTCAGGGCCTGACCCCTTCTGCCCTGTGTGGTCCCTCCCCTGGGACACAGGCCCCCATCTATAGCAGCCACAGCCTCCTGGCTCTTGGACCAGGAGCTTAGAGTACATGTTGACTAAAGCTGGTGCCTGAGACTAACAGGAAGGTCACAGAGGCTAGGACAGAAGGTTACGTAGGTCAGTTGTTGTGGCTGAGTTCTGAGTCTCAACCTTACCCCGCCCCAGTCTCCCAGTTTGGTGACCAGCTGGAATTCTGCAGAGGGCCTTGGGCTCCACCCTCTTGGCCTGGCTCTGGGCTGGGCCAGCAGCCTGAGGCTGCTGCTGGACATAGACCAGATTCATTGTCCAAATACCCACCTGCCCCCACCCCGTTTTTTCCTTTGCCAGCAAAGAGTTGAAATTCACAAGCTGCGTCAAGGTGAGAACTTAATACTGGGCTTCAGCATTGGAGGTGGAATTGACCAGGATCCCTCCCAGAATCCGTTCTCAGAAGACAAGACAGACAAGGTGAGGGGGACCAGGGTCCACTGGGGACAAAGACCTGAGATGGTGGGTCTCTGCTTCCTGGGCCTTCATGGAAGGAGCAGAGCTCTGTCTTTCAAACGGTCCTAAGAAGGCTTAAGAAATGATAAGTAGGGATGGGGGTGGGAAATAGACTTCCCAGCCGAGGAGGAACAGGAAGAGGCCAGCAGCAGGGGCCAGAGCATGGTGGGGCAGCCCTGTCTTGGCACAGCCTGTGTTGGGGGCAGACTTGGTGCTGAATCAGTTGGATGGCTGGGAATTTGCCATGCTGGGCTTTGCTCTCTGGATAATGGGCCAGTCCAATGACACTGGGGCTGGACCGGGGCTGCTTTTTTCCAGGGCATTTACGTCACACGAGTATCTGAAGGAGGCCCTGCTGAAATTGCTGGGCTGCAGATTGGAGACAAGATTATGCAGGTAACACATGTCCCAGAGGAGGAAACCAAGGCTTGGGCCAGAGGCTCTGGGGTGCCAGAAGCACTAGGGATCAGGGGCTACCTTTGCCTCCTGGGGAACCTGGGAAGCTCACTGAAGCACTTTGGAGCACATGCTGGAGTTGCCCCCAGAAGGGAGCGGTCTCTCTCTTCTGTGTGCCTCCATTGTGGCGCTTGGGATCCCCCAGCCCAGAGACATGAGCTTGGGAGACTGTTTGGGTGGGCCAGGACCCCAAAGCCCATCCTGCTTCCAGATCCCAGAGGGCAGAGAGCTGAGGTAGGCTGTCTTTTCTCCTTGGGCCAGGTGAATGGCTGGGACATGACCATGGTCACGCATGACCAAGCCCGGAAGCGGCTCACCAAGCGCTCGGAGGAGGTGGTGCGCCTGCTGGTGACACGGCAGTCGCTGCAGAAGGCAGTGCAGCAGTCCATGCTGTCCTAGCAGCCCGCCATGGTCCCGGACTTGGGCCTGCCTGCCTACAGTGACACATGTCCACGCTCTGTCAGCACCTCATCCTGGCTTCTTCTAAGTACTGGCCCCTGGCTTGGAAAGGCCAGAGCTGGTCCCAGAGGCCTGTCCCTGGGACCTGACCCAGCCTTCCTTCCCCACCTCTCACCACTGGCCCCAGGCTCTGGGACCAGCTCTCATCCTCAGAACTATCAGTCTGTTGGCCTCCCCAGACCCTGGGGCTGTCTGGCCTTAGCAGTGCCCAGATGGGCAGGAGGCTGGGGAATGCTGGGTGGGGCCAGCCTTTCCCACACTGAGCCCTGGCTCCAGGGCTTGGCCTTGCCCCCACGTCTCAGCTCTGCAGTGACTATACCCCATGTTTTTTTCCTGCTTTCCCCAGCAGGGACTTGACACACACCCAGAGACACTACAGAAGTTCGTCTGAACGGAAGCCAGGCAGGCTCACAGTTTACCCCAGGGCCTCCCCAGGGTTCACCTGCTTACAAGATTTAGATGAAGTCCAAGGCTGACATTTCAGGGCAGTTCTCAGGATTGCCAGTTCCTTCTATTCCTGTGGGTTTAACTTTATATTTTTTTAATCACAACTTTGATACAGAAGCATTTTTACCTTACTATTTGGAGATGCCAATTCTACTTTTGAATTTAGCTTACTAAATCACATATGGGAACAACAGCGTTGCTTTGGTTCCTGTGGAAATGGCGTAGTATGAAATTGCCCCATGCCTGACATCTTGGGCCCAAATAAACAGTGCTGGAATTTACAAGGGGTTTTTGCTGAGGCATGGGGTAGGGACGTCTAGGGGTAGATGGCAGCTACTCCAAGTAGTCCAGTACTCCAAGCTTCGGTGGTAGGGCTGACCAGCCTGGCCCCCAACCACTTCTGAGATGAAGCCCAGCTGATGCCAGGCCTGCCTGTTGCTGTGTGGCCAGGGCCACATCTGTAGGAACATCTGGGAGCCGCTGCACTGGAAGTGGGGTGGAGAACTCTTCACCTCCCCTAGCTTGTGCCCCACTTGGGGCACTAAGGGGTTCATGGGAAAAAATACCTGTCCTCTACAACTCTTGAGAGCATACAGTTCATCACAGACAGGAGTGCAGCTCCACATTTCCAGAGGCTGTGATCAGATGAGATGTGGGTAAGTTGGGAGATTACCAGGGCCTCTGCCTGGCCCAGTACAAATGCCACCCCCCACCCCCGCCGGCACTGTGAGAGTGCCCTTAACCCATCCAACCCATGCTCACAACCCCAGCTCGAGCAACATGCCCTGTACAGACGTGGTACCCACACGACCTACCTGGCCCTGAGCAGGCAGGCATCTTGCACTACCCGAGAGGCTTCTCCGATGAAGTGCCCCATCAGCATGCAGCCAGCTCGCCATCACTGTGTAACCCCTGCGTTTCCTTACCCGAATTCTCCCCAAGTCCTAAGGATTGGTTCTTAAGCCAACATACCTGCCTCCCATATCTGGTAAATGCTCAGTGTGCAGAAAGGAAACAAATCAGGTTTTAATTAAGGATACAAGCACCTCACATTAATCTTGCAGTAGAAAGTCTGAGAGTGAACTGACAAGGCACATCCTGGGACCCTCCCCTCCTGCCACAGGAAGGATAGCTGCCTGGGAGAAGAGGGAAGGAGGTTTGGAATAAGGGCTGGGCCCATGAGTTGTGTGTGAAGTGGTGTCAAGTCCTTAAGGGAGGCTCCTGAGTAGCCAAAAAATTGGTGAGTCTCAGGTAGGTGTCTGGGGTAAGTGAAGGAAGGGTCCAGCCCCTCCCCTACATGGGAACTACTCTCACCATTTGGCAGGTCTTACTGGCCTCTAAGGCACAGACTGGTATGTGTGTGCACGCACAGATGTGTCCTATACTCAGACACAAGATAAGGAGTAATTGAAGGGGTTTACATAGGGTCCCTGACTCTGGGGAAATAGAGGTAGGCAGAAGGTGAAGAAATTTAGCCACTCAGTTCAAAACATCCCTCCAAAAAATCCAAAAGGGGGTAGTATGGTAAAGATCCAGAAGGTCTGGGCATAAGCCTAGCTCAGAACCAATCTGTTGGGCACCTCAAGGCTCTGAAATCCAGTTTCTTTACCAGACCCTAATCTGGGCCGCCTGTGATATGGTTGTGCGTGTTGAATTATGTAGCATGAGTGTCAGGAAGGTGGATGCTCAGAGCATGTGGCCTTCAGAGAAGGGACCCCCCCCCCCCCAGGGCCTAATCCCAAAAGTCCTGTCCCCTCTGCCACCAGCACCAGCACCTCTGAGTCCATTGGCCACACCACCTGGCTGCTTGGGTCTCTGGGAACACACCAGTGGCAGCAAAGCACCCTTGGCTCACAACTGCGGGATCAGTCTTTCAAGCTGCTCCCAGAAACACTGGTCACTTAGGTCAAGGCCTTCGGCTCCAAGCTCAGCACCCAATCCTGCCTGGGACGGCTGTCAGAACCCATGTGTGCTGCCTGAAGCCTTAAAGAAAATAGAGACGGCGGCATCAAGACGCAGGAGGGCCAGATACCCGGCTGGCAAGGCCTGGGAGGGGCCGTCAGTGGTGTGGTTTTCCATCTCAAAGCAGAGTCAGCCATCTGTCTCAGAGGGAAGCTCCTCCCAGCCTGGCCTGGGACAGTTCTGGCAGAGGGCAGGCTGGTTTGTGTGTCAGGTGTTTGACCTTGAGGAAGAGAGCACTTGCAACACTGTCAGCACACTGAGCCAGCCCTGCGCTCCAGGCTCTGCCCCAACCTTCCTGGTGGGCACAGGACCCGGGGCCACTTATGCTGGGGTCCCTGGGTGCTAGTTCAGTTGGTCATACCCTGGTTTATTTCTGTATAAGCAGAAGTGCTGAATGAAGAAGATCACATCGAAGAAGATGGAGAAGATGCCAAGTCCAAACTTGGTTGGGTCTCCGAAGATCAGTGTCCACTGGTCTGTTAACAGCCACAGGGGACAGAGTTTGGTTTTAAGTTGGCAGCTCCCGAAGTAGCTGGAGGATATGGGGGCTGCGGGGTGATGGCAGGGGGCGGGGAGGAAGGTGTCCTCATCTGCCCAGGAAACCACAAATCCTCCCACTGTAAAGCCCCTTAGGTGAGTCTCACCCTTGAGTGCTGGGATTGGATCAGATTCCTAGGCTGAAGGGCTGGGGGTGTATGGGGTGGAGAGGTATCCCAGGAAGCCTGGCCCCCACCCTGTGCCTTCAGCCCACCAGATGGGAAGGCAGTCTGCTGGCTGACTCACCATTGTTGTAGGACTGGAGGAACATCTGGAGGAGGCTGAAGCTGCCCCCAGTGAAGTCCAGAAGCACGTTACCAATGCTCCAGCCCTCGGTGCTTTTGTAGTAAAAGTTCATGTAGGCCTGGGTCAGACAGAGGACAGCAGTGAGGGGGTTGGGTGGCCGACTCTTAGACCTTGTGACCACCACTCCAAACAAGAACAGCTCTAATTCCTCCCACTCATGTGCTCAGGCCTCAGCATCAAGGAACACAGTGACCTTTGGGCTCTGACAAGTCCGCCAGCGGACAGAACAGTATGGGCGGGTCCCTGTGTCTCATGTTGGCACATAGCAAACAGCTCTCCTCCTCTCACCCCTGTACCTCACAACTGCAAAGGAGGGGGAGATGTTGCTTCTCCATCTTTATCCTTCCCTGTTCTGGGATGAGACCCTATCCTGGTTTTCTAGCAATTGATTTTTCTTCTCATTTCCAGTGAAGGTGAAACCCAGCCTGGACTTCATGTTGTGCTTATGAATATGGGCTGGGGGTCAAATGCCTGGTCCGGGATCCCGGCTCCACCACTGGAGGGAGGTTATCTTGGGAGTGTTATCTTGGGAAGTTCTAACCTCAGTTTTTTCCCATCTGTAGTGTGGACTTGACTACCACCTCAGCTCTGGCTGGGCTCTGGAGACTGCATCTCAGGCTTCCTAGGTCTAGTTGGGGAGGTCCACTTGGACATCCCCCCACTTCCTACTGCCACTGCCCCACATCCTTCCTCCAATGCCAGAACCCTCTGGACTTCTCTGACTGGGGCAACTTCCCTATCACCCAAGAGGAAAGGTGTGGCCTCCGTAGTGGGTCTTCTCCCAGGTCTTCTCTACCTATTAAGTCCCCTTCTTCATCCTCTTCCACCCTCTTTCATGCTTGTGGCCACCTCTCCAGTCTTGGGACAATTCCATTCATCTCCAAATGGGGCTCCTGCCTCCTGAGTTGACCAGGCCCAAGCCTTCTCACACTCAGGGACTGTGGCCCTACTTCCCTCAAGACCTCCCCGCCAACCCCAACCATTCTGAAGCCTTCTTCCCTAGCCCCCAAAGGCCTGACCCTACCTTTTTTATATTTTAGAATACATTTTTTCTGGCCCTACCTTTTTAGCTTCAACAGTGCTTCTTGCTGCCTCCCGTACTTCTCTGCCTATGCTGCTGTGCAGGTTGCCCCTGGCCTAGAATCCCCCTTCTCTCTTGCCCACAAAATTAAGTCCTGCTCATCCTTAAGAGCCTGGATCTGTTTCCATGCCCTCCAAGAGACATGCCTTGGCTCTTGGAGGGCGTGGATGGATGCTCTCTTTCCTGAGCCCATGAAATACAAGGTTCTCTGCACTGGGGAAACTGAGAAGGAGGCTCCTCCATGGGTAATGGGGTGAGTTATGGGAGGCCCTAGATTCAGCGGTGGAGCCCGCCACTGGCAGCTACTTCACACCTCCCCCTGTCCTGGGCCATTTGGGCTAAGGGGGAAGTCATGTTGGACTCTTAGATCTCCGAATCTGAATAGGTCCCAGTACTTGAGGGATCATGCTGAGGGTCCCTAAGGTGTATCCTGGATGGGACCTCTGAGCAAAACCTCTCTGGATGGGATGCTGGGCTGCCTCCTCTCACTGGCTCTTTCCCAAGTCTCCTGCCGCTGCTTGTCAGGGTTATCAGTTGTAGCAATGGTGGGCAAGGGTGGTTGGGGTGGGGGAAGAACTGATGTCCTTAGGAAAGACCGGGATGGAGAGACAAGGGACCTGCACAACCTGACTCTCAGAGTTGTGCAGGAGTACAGAGAAGTCTCTACTGACCCTCAGGCGACTGCTGGCCCCAGGGAAGGGAGCAGTGCTTACGGCCGGATTTCTGCTAGGCCCTGCTCTGGCTGGGCTCAGGACTTCCACTGCAACTTTCCATTCACATCTCCACACCCCAGCTACAAGCTGCCCCATGGGAGCAGAACCTGCACCCTGTCATGCCTCCCACGCTAATGGCCACGTGAAAAGTAAGGAAGGCCCTGGAGGCACCTGCGGAAAATACTTGACCAGCGTCACTGCGAGCTTGATGTAGGAGAAGCAGAAGAGAAACTGCAGCCATGTGATTACCCCAACTGCAGCCAAAATCATGGTGACGAGCACGAAGACCCATGAGAGCACCAGGAAACTGATGGTAGGCCAGGACACATGCTGGTTGCCTTGCTGAGGATGACAGAGAGAAGCAAAGGGAGTAGATAGTAGGGGCTGGGGTGGGGGCATAGAGAGCCCAGTACCAGTCACACCCTTGTCACTCTCAGGGTCTATTTCAGTCCTTTTTAGATTTTCCAGAGCTCATTTTCTTCTTGTTCCCACATTGCAAAGCTGGGTGCCTCTCAGAGGCCACCAGGAGCTGGGAATGTGGCCTGCAACACACGAGAGGCCTGTGCCTCATTCCATGATCCAGGTGGAGCCTGATCACCTCTGGAACCCATCCCTCACCCTAACTTGCCCCAAAGCAGGCCTTCACCCAGCTTCACAGCAAAGGATAAGAAAACCTAGAAAGTTCGTGAAGGCAAGAGCCAAGCAGTCCCTGGCTGACCCTGCAGGTGCAGAAGGAGCTCCCTGAAGGAAGCAGTGTATCCACAGGCAAGTGAGACAAAACGTACCTATTGGTCTGAAAATTGCTCTAATGGTGCCTTTCCCTGCTGAGATGCCTTCCAGCAATACAGCCCTCCAGCAATATGGCTGAGGCCAAAGTTTCTTCAGCATGGCAAGCAGACCCCTCAGGAGCCTGTTCCCCTCTCTGGGACCCCGAGCCCCAGCCATACCCATTTGCTCATAGTGGCTCTCACTGCCCCTTGGCCTTCACAATTTCGCCCTCCAGCTGGGGCTGCCCCACCTTGGCCTCTTCCTCATCACCAAGGCAACATCACTTACACTATGGACCACAACTCCACCCCACTTCCATGCTGCCCTCCTTCCCTGCTCCTCCCTGGCCCTGGCAGGGCCTCCAGGAGCCACCTGTGTCCTCCCCTCCTGCTCAGCTCTCAATCTGATAGGTCATGATCGCCTCTCTGTGTCCCTCACCCCAGACCTGGGGTCCTGAGGGCTCAGGTTCATGGGTGTCCCCGGTACCCAGCACAGGGCCAGCTCTATTATCTCCATCTCAGTGAGTAGACGCTGAGTTTCTATGTCTTCCGTAAAATGGGAGGAGTGGGGAGCAGGTGGTAGGGGGTGTTGTTGCCTAGGCAGCCCGAGGTGGGGTGGGCACCGGATTCATCTCTCACCTCATAGAGGAAACACTGCACCATGACAACCAGGGTCAGGGCGACTGCGTGCAGACTGAAGAAGACATCGTTACTGTCCACAGGGTTCACTCCATTGGGATATTTGAGGAAAAACTGCTCCTGGTTGAGGGGTTGGGAGAAGCTTGGGGGTGAGGTGCAGCCCGGCTACCCACCAGGTTGGGCCGGGCTGCAGTGGGCAGGCAGTGCCATACCTTAATGGAGGGTACCCAGAGGAGACCAATGTTGAACACGCTGTAGGCCACGAAGCCTGTCAGGTTCAGGGCCACGAAGTCAAAGCTTAGACCAACGACACTGTGGCATGGGAGCAATGAAGAGAAATCAGGGCAAAGGGTGAGACTGGAGGGAAGAGAGGGGACAGAGCTTCCAGCACAAGGGGAGGAGGGCCCAGGTCTCCCAAGGACAGCACCGCCCTCAGATCCCTCTGCAAACCCCAGTCAATGCCACCCAATCTTGCCCTCTTGGGAAACAGTTTCCTTCCTCCCTCCCGCCCTCCCTCGTCTCCTGCCTCTTCAAGTCCTGGCCCCACAGGGAAAGTCTTGGAGGCCTCCTCCAGAGAGGAAGCATCTTCTTTCCTGGCTCCCAGCTCAGCAGCCCCCTACAAGGCCCATTTGGTAGAGGTGACTCAAAAGAGCTTGGGTCCTTGCTGTGCAGGGACACAACTCTAGGCCCACTGTGTCTTTAAAGTCAGGGTGGGGCGGCTTCACCTCCAAGGCTGAAGGACCCAGCCTGGCCCTGCTGCAAGACCTGACACTAATTCCTCCAGGGCTGGGTGGACCAAGAACAGAGCAGATGTGGTGGACTCCCCCCAACCCTGCCCATTCTCCCCTTCCTGAAAAGCCCCATTTTGTTGCTTTCACAGAGAGGAGCTGAACTGGGCCACAGAACAAATGCCGAGAGCTTCAAGTCCTGCCACAGGCTCTTAGAGCTTTCACACTGGACACTTTCTAGAAAGGGCAAGAAGAGAGAAGAGCAGAGGAGGAAAGTCTGAGCCCATGCTGCCTACAGCCTCTCTGGAATGCCTCCCATCTTACCAGCCTCTAGTGCCTTCACATCAAGCTTAGCAGGTTACCTTTTCCGCCTCCAGTTGGTGATCACCTGCGGGTAGAAGGAGATGGACCAGGCCACAAAGTAAATCCAGCCAATCACCTGGTTTATGGTGCTAATGACGTCACTGTGGATGACAAGGAAGCGGATCCTCGGGCTGTAAAGAGTTTGGGGACTTAGATGAGCTAAGGCTGGGCTTGAAGGAAACACCCCTGTTCTTAACACTGCCAGCCTCCCGTCTCATTGCTTAAGGCCCACTTGGGCTGAGGTCAGCCTACCCAGTCTGGTTGGAATGATTTCCGTGCAGATAAACAGTAACTTGTCCAACATTTTGAGATGTCACTTGAAAAGAGGCATCTGTCACTCCAGGAGGCACCACAACCTGTTAAGAAACCTGAATTCAATCTGGTGCTACAGTTATTAGGACTTCAAGGTCCAGCTCCAGGCTACACTCTAGGAATGATGAGACAGACCACACACAGTGCCTGCCTTCTAAGAGCTTACCAGTAAGAGGGAGAAACACTGGATCAACTACCTGCATGCTCCCCGCGCCAATACCTGTGTGTTAGAGGACCCTCAGGCCCTCCCCTGCCCCAACTACCAGGGAAGGTGGGATAGCTCTTCTCCTCTTCCTAACTATGAGATCTCAGGCAAGTTATTCAAGCTCTGACCTCAGTTTGCTCCACCTGTACATGGGGATGAAGTGTCTACCTTACAAGGCTGCTATGAATGGCGTAATGTCCATAAATACTATGACTGCTATTACTTCTACTTCTTTTATAATGGAAGGCTCCTCAATGCCCACAAACGATGTCTGCCCCATACCCAGTGTAGCTGCCAAGTGACAAAACAGAAGAGGTGCACAGAGTAGACACCTTCAGGGAGAGAGAACGTTTTCCCCTCCTTTCTGACCAATACTTATCAAAAGCTCTCCTCTGAGAAGCAGTACTTGGAGGCCTGCTTGCCATATCTGATCTTCCAGTCCCCACCACCAACCCCCGACATTCTCAAATCTCTCAAGTGTGGCAGGGAGCAGAACGATATACCTTCCCTGAACCTTCTCCCCCACTTTGTTCCCTGGATATTGCTCTGGGCCCCAACCTCCACCCATACCACAGGCACTGTGAAGATGCAGCCATTAGAATTCAGCGGCTTCTTTATGAGGATCCCAGAAGATTTTTTTTTTTTAAAGATTTTATTTATTTATTTGACAGAGATCACAAGTAGGCAGAGAGGCAGAAGCAGGCTCCCTGCCAAGCAGAGAGCCCGATGCGGGGCTCGATCCCAGGACTCTGGGATCATGACCTGAGCCGAAGGCAGGGGCTTTAACCCACTGAGCCACCCAGGTGCCCCCCGGAAGATGTTTTTAGCACTGGAAATCAGGGGGCTTTGGCAGAACAAGTGAAATGGTATAAGTGGCTGCCGCAAAGCCCAGAGTCCAATTCGTGGCCTGCCTCGTGCAAGCTACATCCTCATGCCATGTAGTACTCTTGGCTACTTTTTCTTATTTTTAACAAGTTTTTTTGGTAATGCTGTTTGTATATTTGTTAAGTGGCCTCTAAGTCCATTTAGGAACTAGGCAGGAAGAAAACCAGTCAACTGGAAATCAACGGATACAAGGCAGAAGGAAATAGTAACTATCACTATCTTTTTTTTTTTTTAATCATTAAGCTTTATTTTTAATTAATTCTTTTAGAGAGAGTGAGAGAGAGCATGTGCGTGCCAAGTGGGGAGGGGCAGAGGGAGAAGGAGAGAAAGAATCTTAAGCAGGCTCCACACTCGGCATGGAGCTTGACACGGGGCTTGATCTTAAGACCTTGAGATCATGACCTGAGCTGAAATCAAGAGTCAGGCACTTAGCCGACTGAGCCACCCAGGCACCCCAAGAAACTTTATTTTAAGAACAGTTTTAGGTCTACAGCAAAATTTATCACTATTTTTTACTGAGTGCTTTCTTTCTACATGCCAGATACAATTCTAGAAATTTTATACTTGCTTTTACTCCTCACAACCCTGTCAAGTAGACATGACTAATGTTACAATTATGTCTACAAATGAGGACTTGATGCTGTATTGGGTGGAGTACCTTATCTGAGATTCCTAGACTGCCTGACCCCCAAATTCTATCTAGTGGTTTCCAAAGGCACAGGGAGTAGACAGGAGTGCTTAGAGCTGGATGGGGGGGGGGTGCTGTACAGGTTGGCCAAATAAAGGGCATCACAAAAAGTGGGTTGGCGCCCGTACAGATCATTCTATAACTGGATTTGACTCCCACTATATAATTTTTAAAAAAATTATAGTTGACATACAATGTTATCCACCATTAAAGTTACATAAAAGTGAATCATAACATATGTGCAGAAAAGTTACATCACAGCTTGATGAAGTAACAACCACAAACCAAGATCAAACACACAGGTCAAGAAATGGAACACTTCCAGCACTCCAGAAGCCCTGTTCTACTCCTTTCCAGACTCACCTGATCTGCAGGGGAAACTGCTGTGCTGACCAACACTATGGATTGGTCTTGACTGTGTGTGCACTTTAGACACAAGGAAGCACACAATGTGGGCTTCTCTGAGCCAGGCTTTCCTTGCTTAAGATTACGTTTGATTTTTACTGGCCCTAAACTAGGTGATTGCATCATTCCTCAGACTCTAAATTTTTTAGAGTGGATCAAACCAGACCTCAGCTGGGTGCTACAATCTGCTGTGAGAACCAATGGCTTTTCTTACCCTACGGCAGGCTTCGTGCCCCACGGCAGAGGAAAGTTGAGAGAAATGGCTCTAATGAGGTGTGCTGTTCACTAGAGGGTGAGACAGAATTGCCCTCCCACACAAGTCCCTTCTGGGTTGATGCCCTTTATTTGACCACATGCTTCAGTACTGTTTTCATGCTAGGGGCCTCAGAGCCAACCTGTAGCCCATCTCTGCAACCACACAGGGCCTCATGACGAGCTACGTAGTTATCCCTGCATCTACCTTGTCTATTTTTTTTTTTAAACTCTTGTTTTTTCTCTACAGTGCTGCCTTCCCTACTGATATTTTTAATCTAGTCAGTTAGTAATTGGCTCAAATGTTGGTAAGGTAGGAGCAATGTGTATATTAACAGATGAATGCATAAGGGCTATGAATAGTTATCGTTAGCATTTGGCCTCAGTTTTTGGAAATAACTTTCAACCAGTAGAACCTCAGAAGAGGCAAACTTCAGTGTGGGCCTAAATCATCCGGAGATCTTGCTCATATGCAGGTTTTGAATTAGCAGGTTTGGGATGGGGCCCACAATTCTGCATTTCTCATAGGTTTTCAAGCAGGGACAGTACTGCTCATCTGCCAATGCCCTCTAAGCAGCCAAGTTTTAGAAAGCCATCTTATTAAGAATTTCTTCTACATTCCCATTTTTGCCTTAAATTTCTTGCTACCACCCTCCTCATTCCAACTACGTGGCATAAAATGCCCATCCTCAAAGACAAACAAAGCCCAAATCAGAGATTTTTAGAATTATGGAACGGGAGCAGCCCATGGCATAAAAACAAGGTGGCCTACTTTGAAAAGCACTTACTTAAAAGCTATTTTGTTACCCAGCAGTTAAAATTCATTACTTACTTCATCGGGGAGCTCAAGGATAGTAACATTTTTTGAACGAAATGTGATTTGAAAAGTGATCACCAAGGTTGCATTTAATGGATGCCTGTGGAGGATAAAAGTCTGATTACTGCTGAGAAGTTGGACACTGTGAGATCTCAACCAATCCTCTGAACTTCACATCGGGCGTATCACTGCTCAAGCAATTAAGGATTTTGGGTCTGTCACTTCTCAAGCAATTACAGTTAAGTGCTCTGTGCTAGGCCCTGAGTGGTCGTGGTGGGGTCCTTGCTCCTAGGAGCTTTCCATCGGTATCGGGAGACAAGAGGCCCACAGGGGCCAGATGAGAGCATGAGAAGGTGGGGAACGGGTTGTGACTGCCAAATGAAGTGTCCAGAGGCCAACAGGACCATGCCATCTGTTCTGATAGAGAAGGCTTTCAAGGGCTTGGGTCTGAGCAGGGACCAGTGTGTCCCCAGAAAGCCAGGAGACATGTATGATGGGAGTAGCTGGTGGTGTCCTCAAGTGTGAATGTACAGACCTGGGGTTCATCTGGAAGGCTATGGAAAGCCACCTGAGGATTCTGGAGAGGGGTGATGTGGTGAGGGGATGGCTTGTCAGATTTATAAGGTGTCCATGTAAAGGGGTGGCAGGAGCTGGGACAGAATCCAAGTTCCTATCAAAGCTTTGGCTGGAGATCAGACTTCCCAGGAGAGGTGAAAAAAGGGGAGAAGGGTAAAGAGATAAGGACAGGATTCTAGATCTCGGGGAATCCTCATGGCTGGGAGGCAAGAGTAGGGAGAAGCAGTGAAGGACAGGGAGGAGGCAGGTTCTCTAGCAGTCTATACTAGGTTGTTACCTCACAACTGAACCAGCAGATGTTAGCCAGTAAGACTCTCAGACAAGACCAAGTGGGAGTGTTGCCATGAATGGGGTCCACCCAAAAAGGTCACTTCTGCTTTTGGAAGGGATCTTAGAACAGCTTAGCTCCTTGACCCTTGACCTTCAGGGCTCTCAGCAAATACTTAGAGCCTTGGAAGGGACTACTCTGAAGCATCAAATGCTGATCACTCAAGGTCACCTCAGCCAAGGAAAAGGTTCCTGAAACAAGGATTCATTGGCCGGGAGTGGAGAGACTCTAGGACATGAGTCTGCAGATCACCTGCTATCATGCTATCACCTTCCTCTGGCTTTTTTTTTTTTTAAAGCTTATTTTATTTTCTCAGGACAGAAGGGACTTGATGACCTCATACAGAATATCCACTGGCCCTCGGGTTCCCTGGCTTGTCTTAAAGTGAAGGGGCAAAGGTATCACACTTGAAATATGAACAGAGCCAGGGGTCAGCCTTGACCTGGCCATGGGGTGAATAAACTGGCTGATGACAAGAGTTGGGCCCAGGGACTTACTGAAGGGTGATGCTGACGTTGGCTGAGCTTCCATTTTCCAGCTTCACAGTGGGAGGGACAGTGAGGTCGACTGTTGACTCTAGAAGGACCCAAACCAATGACAAATCATTAAGTCAGAGAACTTAGGCTCACAAGGAAGAACTGGGATAAGGATCCCCAATATCTGAACTCATGAGCTCTGACTCGGGACAACCCCCATCTTCTAGAAGACATGGAGGTCCTGAGAGGATGGGTGCTGGGCCTGGAAACCTGAACCTTCATTATGCTCTTTCTCCTTCTTCTGCCAGAGAGAGGTAGACATAGGCCCAAGCAGGAAACACTGTAGCTTCTTCTTCCCCACACTGAGAGGCTCTGAGGCTGAGTGACCCAGAGTTTTAGAATACTGGAGCCCAAAAATTGTCACACAGGAATTCAAGCATCAATCTGGGACTGAAAAATGTAGACTTGAACCCCCTCTTCAGATGGGAAAGCACTGGGGTCTCTTCTGTTCATGGAGCTAAAATGGCCCTATAGAACTGGTCCAGCCTTTTTCTGTACTCTCAGAGATACACAGGGCCCAGCTACCTTGTTTCCAAAGAACCCCTTTGGACTCTGTACTAACTTAGCCTAAGCCATTCACTGATCCCCTTCCTGAGGCTAACTATACTGGGGAGTGGGGGAAAATGGTGACTACCACAGTCTCACTATCAGTGATTTCTTTTTGGCACTAAGGTGTTAATGCAGGATAAGGTAGACAAATAGGCCTTGGGAGTGAGGGAGGAAACAGGTTTGGGAGGCCAAATATCCCAGAGCAAATTGGCCATAGAACCCGAGTGAGTTAGCCTCTCCCTGACCTCTTCCTGTGTTCTTTGGGCAGCCCACACTCCCACCCCACCTTACTCCCAGGTGTACTCAAAGCCCCAGTCGCCTGTCCACCTCACCTCCCTTACCTAAGGGCCTTCAGGGTTACACAAGGAATAAGGAGTGGTCATGAAGCTAGACTGGGCAGGAAGGGAGCCCACGGGAAAGGAGCTCAACTTGATTAAGACACTCCTTGTAGGGGGAACGGCTGTAGGCAGGGCCCAGGTTTCTCTCCTCCCGGTTCTCTTCAGACAGAAGATCAAGAACTGAGATCAGAAGTTTTAGGTGTTCAGGTTGGAAGGGAACTTAAAAGTTCCGGATAAAACCTCCACGGTCTGATCCCCCTTTTCATTAATCCTACCTGGCAGTTGCTCTTCCTCTGCCTGAACATTTCTAAGAACAGTAACCTCATCTCCTGCCAAGGAATCGGCCAGCCTGGAACTTTGTCCTTCTGGGCCTGGCTCTGCTACCTGGGGCCTTGGAAGGCCGCCTTCCCCACAACAACCCTGCACCATGAATGTGGACAGACGCAGGCTCTGTCATGTGCACTTGCAAGCCTCCAACAGGGAGAATCCCACAGTCTGAGGTCTCTAGTCTCGGCACTCTCCTCACATCTGCCTGGCTGGGTCCCACTGAGTGGGTATGTTCCCATGCTGGTCCTGGCAGAGGCCAAGCCTCTCAGAGCTGAGTGGGACGACCCCTCCCTCATGTGTAGCCTCAGGACCTGGAGGCAGCTTTGGCAACTCTGTCCCTTCTTTTTCACACTCTTGATAGCAACGTGAGGCTTTGTTCTGGGCTTGTACAGCTGGGAGGTGGTAGGACTTAAGGTCCCTATTGTTATTTTCTATCTAGAGTTGAGGACCACACCAGATAAGCAAAACCATTGACAAGACAGTACCCAGGACAGACAGTGATGCCAGGCAGCCCCCACATCTCTGGGGTAACCCATAACCTCGGGCCCAAAGGTTCTACTGGGCTGTGGTCATGGCAAGCTAGAGATCCATGTGGCCTTTGCTCTTCCATATTCTTAGCACTTTACAAGAAGAGGCTGTGAGCTCCTGAGAACCAGATCATGGACTCTTTGCTTTCCCCTCACTGAGAGTCCCTGGAGACAGCAGCACTTAGCAGCTGAGAGACTGGGCTCTGAAGTCACACGGTCCATCTGCCTTTGTCACTCCCCTGCTTCCTTCCTTCCTTGTTTATAACCTCTATGTGGGCCTCTTTCTTCACCTATAAGGTGGAGGGAATGGCACTACGTACTTCACATGGCGCTGTGAAGATACAGTGTGATAGTGTTCGTGACACATTTCCTATGTGGCCTGAGTGCTGGCGACTGTTCTCATCAGGTAAACACAGCAGGACATTTTCAAGCTCAAGATGGTAGGCAGTTAAGAAACAGGCATCATATCCAGGGAAAGTGCATTCTAAAGTTTGCCCTGGGGCAAGAGGCTCTGAAAACCATAAGAATTACCAAACAAGTCTTCATGAAACCACCCAAAGTTTCCCCTGAGGCAGGGTATTTTTAAAATTTTTTCTGAAGGAATACTTATTGGCACCTCGCACTGTGCTTCCCATCCCACCCACTCTGCCACACTGCTAACTCATTCTCTAATTACTGTAACAGTGAGAGGTGGGTATTATCATTCCCACTTTGGATATAAGGAAACAGAATCCCCAGAGGGAAAGTGTCTTGCCCACACAGCTCAGAAATGGAGGAGGCAGGATTCAAACCCAGGCCTGTTGGGCCTGAGGCCGAGCTTCTTGCGACTAGGTGGCAGTGCCTCAAGATTCCACCCAGAGAAGTCGAGACTCCTCTACAGTCCTTGATGACCAATCCCCAGAGCAAAGAGAAAACAAGCAGAATGAGATTAGAACCCCAATTCTAGTCACTTGATTTTATGGTGTTTACATCATTCTTTTTCAATGACATCCAGGAAGGATGCAAAGAAATAAAACGGAGCAAGGATCCTGTGCAGGTCCCACCTTTGGGGACGACTTTTACCCTCTCCTGGGCCAAAGTTTCCCCTCTGTATAACTCAGGTGGTGGTGGCCAGATGCGCTCTTCCTTCCTGGGCTTTATCTAAAGCCTGACAGTGCATGTGTGACACACACCTGGGCCTCAGGCCCAGAGAATATGAACCAGCAGGTCTGGAGTGGGGCTCTGGAATTCATGTTGAGAAACACCAGGCTTCATGGTACCACCTTTCCTTTCTTGGAAATTGTTTATCCACAAGGTGTGACTGCAAAGTAACATGACTGATTATTTAACAAATCTGGAAGAGCCGTCAAGAGGCCACATGACTGTTACGGTACTGCCACTGTGCACCGCTCTCAGGAAGCTTCTGCAGGATTTGTACTGTGTGTACAAGGGTCACTTGAAATCTTTAGTCAGGGATTTTAAGATATATTTGATTTTTTAAAAAGATTTTATTCATTTGATAGAGAGAGAGAGGGCCCAAGCAGAGGGAGTGGAGAGGGAGAAGGAGGCTTCCTCTAAGTAGGGAGCGTGACCTGGGGCTTGATCCCAGGACCCCGGGATCATGGCCTGAGCAGAAGGCAGCCACTTAACCGACTGAGTCACCCAGGCACTCTGAGATATATTTGATTTTTGACAATAGCTAAGCTGATGATCAAAATAACTGGCCTGCCATCCTAGGAGTGTAAATACTTTCCATCCTTTTCATGGAAGAAATTTCAGCAATGTTTGGGCAGTGGGAGAACTGATAGAATGATATAAGCCTCTAATCTAAGGGCCCTGCTGCTCACAAACCTCATAAGGATGCCCAAACCCCAAGGTATTTTTTGACGCCCAACCTGTGTTACGTGAGGCCCTTGCTGCACTTGGGCTGCTGCACCCTGTTCTAAGAGAAGGTTTTTTCATCTTACAAGGAGATGCTGGGAAGACTCCTCATGTATCTGAGCCTGACAGAAGAACCAGGTGCAACAAGTTGATGACTTCGCTTGCTTCTGCAGCATCTCCTAGGACCTAGAATTCCTTCTGTGAGGTCCACAGACCACAGAGTTGTTGGAGCACATCAGTTTGACTTTGGTGGTACAGGAAAGGTAACAGGGACCTCATGGAAGAAGGCCAATTATTTGCAGAATCATCTGGATCCTTGTGAAAGTCCTGAACCCCATACCTGCGTCTGCTCCACCACACAGTGGTCATTTGGCCAAGGAGCCGGCAGACACATGCAGGCCAGACAATCCTAAACCCTTGGCTATGAACAGGTCTGGCTACTTACTCTGTTGCACCATCTCCCTCTTTACGAAGCCGATGACCCATTTCTAAACTCACCACACTTCTCTATGAGCTTCAGGGGAAGGATAAAAATAATCAGCCAACTCCTTATCATGTTCCTCAATTTCAAAGAACTAGGAAGAAAAACAAAGAGCAAGAGTTCAGGTTAAGTTTGGAGCAACTCAGGAACAAATGGACAATATGCCAGCTGGAATCAAGGCACATAAAGGACGTTTACCTCACGCTTGTGACCTCATCATGCACTTTGCATCACCAGCTCAGAGGTGACTGGGGGGAGGGGGGTATGGAACACAGCTTTCTTTGACATGTGGAGCCATGGGCTCAGAAAGGCTAAGTGTGTTGTGTAAGGTTCCACTCTGAGGAAGCAGACAACTATTGATTTTTTCCCTCTTCACCTGCTTCTTGTAACTAGTTAACAAAAAGAAAGAATGCAGTTTCATTGCCTGGGTTTTTTTTTATGTTTGTTTGTTTTCAAAAAGTTATCCAAACTGTGGTCGGATATTTGACTTGGTGAACCTACGAACCCTAAGGAAAGTAATTGCATTCCTGTCCTGGGACAAAAGCATAACGGGCTAATGCCACCCGAGGACACCAGGTTAAGACTTTTTCATTTAACAAATGTCACCTCGCCAGGACTGGCAGGGATCACACATGATAGGAAACCAGTGAGTGATGAGTCCCAGATTAGCCCAGGGGAAACTCATTGGTTAAGTGAGGGAGATGCACTACATAACACCTATAGCCCAGTGTACAGCAGATGAACCGCAGGTCAAGATGCGGCAAGTCAGCATGGATATCTCTAACTTGTCTGTACCTGCTGCCTTAGCATACAGAGCCTAGACCCTCCCACCTGACAGCCTCTGGGGATGCCCGCAGGCACAGCTAGGAAAGGGCTTTGTGGAAACACCTCTCTGGTTTCAGTTTTCCCAAAAGGCCTCAAGGCACCTCTTGATACACCCCTCCCTTCAAAGACGTCTTCCCGAGGGCTCCAGCCTGCCTGATCTCTGCCTGTCCCTGTCTCCTCCAGGGGTCTATCTTGTCTGAGCAGCTCCCTTTGATCTGTTAGGTCTTTATCTCAGGAGCTTTCACACCTGCTGGCACAGACCTCTGTCTCTGGCCTCCTCTGGAGTCCTTGCCTTTGATGCTATATCTCTATGCTCTCTACCATCCAATTTCTGTACCCTGACCTGCAGGGAATTGCTCTCCTGTGTCTGTGGAATGACCACAGGTCTCCCATTCACTCTTGCCACTCTCTGCTCCTCACACCTCCCTGTGTCCCTGTGTCCATAAGTTCAGGATTTAGAATGTCCCTCAGGGTAAAGTCTGGGTTTTCCTCCGGAAATCAGATATGAATCAAGCCTAACCAGCTCCTCTCTCATCCTGCAGGAGTGGAATGTGGACTGAGAAACTCCAATGTTTGGTCAGCAAAAGTCCCCCAGCCCCAGGGGCTGAGATACCTTGGAGGAAAGACACCAGGACAGACATTGAGAGGTAAGTTGATTAAAATGTCAGATAAAGGTCAGAGTGATATGTATACACTAAAACTATGTCTTGCGAATGCTACAAGGTAGAAATGGGAGAATTTCATGACTATGGGCTCTGTCAGCATGGCCCTCTTCCCGTGCAAGTTCTGTCTTCCAGGCTTTACTCAGATACCATTTTAAGAAGTCTCCCATTCTCAAACCACAAGTCCCAGGAGCAACCTGGGGTCAGGGGTTTCCAGCTGCTGTCAAGTATCTGACTTAATCATGACAACTGTTTTACAACCTGCAAGTCCTTGAGTCTCCTTCTCTTGTGAAACACAGAAAGTGGCAAGAATGTGTGCCCTGCAGACAGACTGCATAGGTTTGAATCTGGGCTCCCCAAATGTTAATTGGGGGTGCTACTTAACCTCCTCAATCTTCAATTTCCTAATGTGAAAACAAGGGCAGTGAGACTACATCATGGGACTTAAATGAGATGAAATGCAAAACATGGCTTGTGGTTCTCCAAAGGGGGACAGTACATAAACTGATTAAATCAGTGTTATTAAAATTTCATGATGGTGGGAAGGAGTTCATTAGAAAAAAAAAGGTTGAGAAACAATGTTGTAAAATGATCATTACTGTTGCCTCGGGCACCTAGCAAGCGCTCATAAAGCACAGGTGATTATTTTTCTCAATTCTTTGAAAAGGGTAGGGCCCAGGCAGTTGTCCTACCTTCCCCAAGCCTGAAAGCCCCGGAATGCAGGGCGGAGTCTCATTCTACCCAGTTCCCCAGAACGCAGACCGGCGCTCAGCACACCAACGCGGGTTCGTGGAATGGGCTTTCCAGCATCTTCTCCCTCCAAAGTAATCTGCAAACTCTGCGACCCAGATTCAGGTAGCAACTAACCCAAAGGCGGGGAGGGGGCTTCGGACTTGCACTAGGGTAGAGCCACCTATACCACCGCGGCAGCCCCGTGTCCCTTGCCTCCGCTTACCACCACGCGGGCCTTTCAATCTGGAGGCTGTCTGGTGTCTCGAGGCCGGGATTCCTGGTAGGTGATGGAACCCTGGCGCGGCTGGAGGGGGAATTTGCGCGGCTGGAGGGGGATTAGACGTACCGCAAGATCCTCAAACGACTTACAGTGCCAGTCTTTAACCCTCTGGGGTTCCGCCGGCTAAATGGAGGGAGGCTGTTGGGGCCGCGCCGACTCTCACCTGAGATCCTCTAGGATCAGGGAACCGACCACACCGGACGCTGGATCCGTTTCGGACTGTACCCGCTTCCCCCTGCAGCCTGACTTTGGGTGAGGGCGGGGCAGAAGTCACCTGACTCCAGCTACCTGATTCTCGGCGATGCACTCTGGGAACTGTAGTTTAGTCTTAGCTCGACAATGGGGCAGGATTGGGGCTCAGCAGAGGGGCCTAGGCGCCTTGGCAGGGATGGGGGCTCAGGTGTGTGGGAGGCTTAAACCACTTTTGGGGACACAGAGGCTCTCGGAGCCCCGAGTGCCTGTCGGCGAACCCTGCGCCACTACGATGAGCGAGGCCGGGGAGGGAGGCCACAGTCCTAGAACGGCTGTCATGGGGAACTGGGCCCTCTAGATCCTGCCTTCCGCCGCCTCTCCGCCTATTGCCAGGGCTCGCCGCGAGGGTAGGCGGGGATTCGCCTTCTTAGACCAATGGGAAGGTGAGAAGCCTCAATGTTGGGTGTGGCTGTAGGCTTGGCCCCGCCTCGGCGCCTAGAACCCGTGTGGAGCGCGCAGGAGGGGGCGCCAGTATCCCATACGTCAGCTGCGCGACTCTCTGAGGCAATGGCTACGCGGGTGGTCACTCTGGGTATCGACCTGGGTACTACGTCTGTGAAGGCGGCCTTGGTGGAGGCCGTGCCCTGCGACCCGTCCGGGTTTGTGGTACTGGCGAGCTGTGCCCGGGCTACGCGAGCTGAGGCGGTGGCCCAGAGTGCGGCGGCAGGGCACCAGGTGAGGCAGCGTCCTGGAGCTGCGCCGCCTCGGGGAGCCACTCTCTCGCTCTTCAAAGGAGGCCTCCTCGACACCCCTCTTCTTCAGAGAAGTCTCCCTGATTTCTCCAGCCTGTCTGACCTCTTCCTGCCTGCTGCAGCTGCCTGTGATCCGTCACTCTTCCTCCCAGGAGCTTTTCCCACCTGCTGACACCGTCTGGCTCTCTGGCCTCTGGGAGTATTGCTCATGGCGCTCTATCCCGGTGCTCTCTGCCCTCCACTTTCTGTACTTTGATCTGGGGAAATCGCTCTCCCCGTGTAACCTCAGGCCTCTCTCTTGTTCTTGACCTCTCTGCACCTCACACCTGCCGGCATCCAGTATCTTCAAGTTCAGGATTCAGTTTGTTCCCCAGGGCAGAATATAGGTTTTCCTCAGGAACTAAGATTGTAGAATCATAGGGCATAAGTGGCTCTTCTCATTCCGCAGGGGTGGAATGTGGACTGGGGAATTGAAACACTTGGTCAGCAAAAGACACCAGGACCCAAAGGCTGAGACACCTTGGAGGAAGGACTGTGCAGACACAGACAGGAGAGATAAGCTGATTTAAATGTCAGGAAAAGATCGGATGGATCATTATATATTAAAACTAGTGTTTTGTGAAAGGTACGGGGTAGAAATGGAGAATTTCACCAGAGTGGGATCTGTTTGGAGATGTGGGTTCAGAAAGATCATCAGTTCTTAGAGCTGGATTCCATTAATTCCCTGAAAAAGGTAGCTCTATGTTCAGTTAATTGACAATAGAAATTAATATCCAGGAACTTTCTGTGAAACCTTAGGACTTTTTTTTTTTTCTTTCTGGATCTTTGCTTGTTCTCCCAAGTTGAAATAGGTGGCCTCTGAGGCCCTTTCCAGCCACGAACAAGCCTCATTCCCTAGAGCTTGTTTTTCACAATCTTTTGGCACTTATCTAAGTTCTTTAGGGTTCAGAGTCCATCTTGCTCAGAAACATTTCAGAGGATAGAGAGTTCAGGAGCACTTTGCATATTCATAGACTCAAAATTACTTTGGTTGGGGCATCAGGGTATTTTAGAATGCTTATTTCACTACATGGACTATGAAATAGAGCCATCTTCAGCTCTTACCCTGTGGGGGTGAGCAACAGAGTTGGGATTACAGGAAGTGGAGTTAGGCACTGCCCTTTTCTCTTGAAATAGATCCAGTCTTTTTTTTTTATTCCTTTTTTTTTTTTCCTTTTTCCCAAGTAGGCTTCCCACCCAGCATGGGAAAGCTGGACTCACAACCCTGAGATCAAGACCTGGTCTGAGATCAAGAATTGGACGCTTAACCAACTGAGCCACCCAGGGGCCCTGAAATAGGGTCACTTCTTGAAAACTGCTTTCTAGGCTTCCCACAGCATGCAGCAGGCTGTTCTGTGTTTACAGGCACACAGTGTGCCACACCTGCCTAATGACAGATTTAGGAGAGGCCAGGAATAGCCCCCTTGCATCCTCCACGTCTGTTTTATGCTCTGGGACAAACAGTATTGCTGTAATTTCATCTATAGCAGAATTTCTCAACCTTGGCACTGTTGATACTTTGGATTAGATGATTCTTTGTTGTGGGGAGCTGTCCTGTGCATTGTAGGATATTCAGCAGTATCCCTGGCCTTACGTACTGCATGCCAGTAGATCCTTCTAATCAGTTGTGACACCCCAAAATGTCCCCATCCTGCCAAATGTACCTCGGGGACAAACGTTACCCCTGAGGTGAGGACCACTGAGCTACAGAAATGCCTGATGATTCTGTCCTTTCCTTATGTCCGTACTTTTTACTCTTAGGAAGTATTGTATACACCAGGGTCAAGCTTGGCAGCTTTTAAGTATTTGTGACTTTAAAATACCAGGATGTTTGCGGGAATGTCTGTCACCCTTTCTGAGTTATTACTTTCCCCTTTCTGGGCCTCAATTTCCTCATTTGTAAAGAGGGGTTGGTGGGTAGGAGGGTTGAATGAGTTTCTGCGTTCTTCGTCAGATCTAAAGTTTTCGGATTTGATTTGGTTGTAGAGCGATGGATATTTTGAACCAAGGAAAGGGGGCAGCACCAATCCTGTTACATTGTGGGTATGCCCATTGTCAAAGAGCTACTCCCTGATCACACTCACCATTGAAACTCGAACTAATTGCTGAACACTGACTACCCCCTTGTCTTCACTGCCGCCTGGCCCATTTCCCTCCTCCACTATCCCCACCCACACGACTCACCCACCCTGGGCCCATTTTAAACAGTGGCTCCTCTGTCTTGGGTTGATACACCTTCCAAGGTCCTGTGGGAACTCTTTAGCACTATCCAAAAGAAATTCTAACCACAAATGTGATGCACATTTGTAATTTTCAGTTTTCTAGTATTAAAAGTAAAAAGTAACATTTGAAATTAATTTTAATTGCATATTTAATTTAGTCCAATGTATCCAATGTACTATCGTTTCAATATATAATAATATAAAATTATTAATAAGATAAATTGTGTGTTTTTTCATATTAAATCTGAAGGCTGGTATGTATTTTTATACTCCCAACACATCTCAGTTCAGGTGCACAGCCATGCATCTCCTCTCTGTTGGTGTCTCGCTGCCTAGTCAGTTCTGCCATAGAGTCTTGTTAGAATCTGGGGCTGCAGCCTCAGGGAAATGATTTGTGCTCTCTTCGCACTCCTTCCCCCATCCCACCCAACCTCACCTTCCTTTTCTTCTGCTCCTTTGTTCAGGCTTGTGTGGAGTCTTAGAACTGCCCCTACCCAAGGCCAGCAGGCTGACGGGGCAAGTGAGGGGTTTGTCTTGAGGAGAAGGCTACCTTCTGCCCTGGGCAGGGTATCTTGGGGCTTGAGGGCTTAGTCTTTAGATACTTTTCCAAGACTGTGAGCTTTTTAGTTCTCCAGAGACCAGACATTTATTAAGAGCTGAGCCACATTTCTCTTCTGAGTTTTCCATGGGTCCTTCTAGTTATTAAGTATAAATTTATTTTGTGCCTTGAGATAATTTTTGTGTGCCAGAACATTTTACTTTGGTTGAAATAAAAATAAGTATTCAACTTATTAAATTCAGAACCCTAGTTCTTAAGCTTTTAAATTTAGCTCATAAAGCTGGTTCCATTTGTAAGTCTAAGATGTAACTATCAATTTTGAGGACCTTTGAATAATACTTAATGCCATCTCAGTTAAGTACCTTAGTTATACATTTTATATAAGTATATAATATAAAATATAACATTACACAATATTCTATTTAAGTATATAAGGTTCTCTAGTTGCCTGACCCAAAGCTTTTCAGAATACCTAAGTAATTCTTATAAATCTAATAAATTAAATGGATAATGATGTAAACTTTAAATGTTTTATATGTTTAAAATCCTTTTATAAGTATATAGTAGTGAGATTTGACCTTACAATTGCAAATCTACATCAGTTACTAAAGTACAAAGGTAACCTAGGCCAAATTTTCTTAAGCATATAAATTCATCTAAAATACCAAATACTCTTAAGTTTCCTTAAGCACAAATGTTAATCAGATAGGCATGACTCTTTTAAACATGCATGTTTAATTCTTGATCATGGGACCCCTGGGTGGCTCAGGTGGCTAAGTGTTCAACTCTTGATCTCAGCTCAGGTCTTGATCTCAAGGTCATGAATTCAAGTCCCATACTGGGCTCCACACTGGGTGTGGAGTCTACTTGAAATCTACTTAATCATTGAGAAAACAATTACGTCATCTGGGTTGCTTTTCCAAGTGCATATTTTGTGGTGGCCTCCTTAGCTTTTTGAAACTTCTTACTGAATGGAGACATCTCCTGGGATTGGATGGGATCTTGGAGTCTGATTTCTAGTCTTTAACAGGGACTTCATAATTTAAAAGAAGAGATGGTCATGGAACCTCCCTAAATTTTTTTGGTGTGAGTCACCTACTTTTAAAGTTATATTAGTCTGTACCTCCCACCCATTTGGATACACTGCTTAATTGGTTTTGGCATTTTGTTATCTCTAAGATACATAAATGTGCTTTTGCTTCTGACTCCAGAGACCTTTAACCTTTTTCGAATCCTGCATTCTATTCACATATTTGTCGCAAAGACCATTTGCTTCATAGATATTAGTATGCTGTTTGTTTACAGCTTCTTATTTCTCATGAGTTTGGTTATCAAGGTTATTCTGCCTTGAGAAGTTCTTAAGGAGGCAGCAGATCAGAAAAAAGGCAAATCAGGAAAGGATGGTCCTGACGTTCTTGAATGTCATTTCCACCCCCCACCCCCAAAATCTCTCTATACTACCAGTCTCTCTCTGGGTAGCTTATACCATTGCCTAATTAACCTTCTGATGATGATACTGTCCTATTCAGAAAGCCCAAGAGGAGGGCTTTAGGAGGAGCCTCTCACCCTGGGTCTTGAGGTCCCCCACTGGGCTCAGCCTCTCCTCTTTTATAGCTTCATCTCCCACCAGCCCCTCATATGGACCATCTCCCTGGGGGCTCTGCCCAGGTATTCTTGGGGTTATTTCCTTGCCTGCCTTGCCTAGTGGGTGTTTTATTTCCAAGTCTAAGGCCTGGCTCTAAAGGCACTCAAGAAATGTTTGCCATGTGGATGAACTAAAGTCCACATGGAAGAAAATGCTAGAGCTTGTCCTAAAGTGCTTAAGTCCATTAGGCCTTTCCTGACTACAACTTTCCTCCAGGTTCTTCCCGGCTATATTCCATCCTTCCCTTATCCCGAACCTCTGTGTCCCTTGTGATAGACCCTTAACTTCTACTTACATTATGGTCTTTCTTGTGTTTTCCTATCCTTCCTGTGAGCTGTCCACTCTTCTAGGGCAGAGACAATGCTTTCCTCAGCTCAGACTCACCTACAGTGGAGGGCAGAGCCTTGGCCATTTCTGAATCTAATTCGCAGCAGTGCCTCACCTGTGCGGGGAGGGACTGGAGTCTTGCCCACCACATTCCTGCTCCAGGCCCTGCTGAAGGTGGTGGAGAACCCTCAGTCCCACATGTCCTCCCTGAGGCCAGTGAGCAGTCCTGGAAGTGACCCCAGTGGAATTAGCTCAGCAGATAGTACCCAGGAAGTTCCTTGAGGCCTCTGCCCTCTTCCCCCTGTTGTGTGCCCCTGCCCAATGTGTCCTGTTCTGTTTCCAGGGGCAGGAGCAGGATGTGAGCAGAATCATCCAAGCCCTAAATGAGTGCCTTGCTGCCCTTCCTCGGCAGCTGCTCCAGGAAGTTTGTGGCATTGGAGTGTCAGGACAAATGCATGGAGTCATGTTTTGGAAAACAGGCCAAGGTATGGTGCGCTCTGGGGGTGATCATGTGCTCCTAGCAATCACTGTGGGATAGCAGAGTGCTGCAGAGGGCTCTCCTCTGAAGTAACAGGTCACCCTGTAGTGTGAACAAAATGTCCTATGCTGCCTCTTGCATTTTGTGTGCACCCTTTCTTGTACAAATGCGTAATGAGTAAGCGAACTCTCCACTCACACTCTGTCCATAAACAGGGCGAGGGAAGAGTGAGTTCTCTCTGATTCTCTGTGGGATTCAGTGGAGTGGATTTTCCACAGCTTTCTCTTTATTTCTGTCGGTGTCTCAGAGCATCAGCGCAGACAACTAAAGATTAGTGTAGTTGTGGGAGATGCCAAGACACAGGGGACACTTGAATTTGGGCATAATTTTTGTTGTTTGCCATAATCACAGACGTTTGTGATTTTTAAATTTCAGGGCATCCTTTTTATGGGCTCAGGTGCTGAGTATTTAGTTGGTCCTCTTCTAACAGGTCTCCCGTAGTGCATAGGTCAGTGACCTGTTCTGTTTGACCTCCAGGAGGAGACTTATTAAGCTAGCAAAATAAAAATGCTTGCATGCTTGGTAAGGGTGTTACCTATATGATCTCATTGAACTTTCCCAACATCTTTGTGAGGTAGGTTACATAAATGTCTCCGTTGTGCAGATGAAAAGTGGAGGTTCAGAGAGGTTCATATGCTCAGGGTCATATGGCAGCAAGTGGTGACTCCAGCTTTTGAACCCAGGTTGGTCTGACTTTAGAAACTGAGCTCTTAAAGGCCTCAAGAAGGACCAGAGTTACAGGAGGGTGCAGTAACTCAGTGAAGAGAGGAACTTCCCAAAAGAATGTCCAACTTCCTTGGATGTTATGCATTCCTGTTATAGCTAGCATTAAAAAGCCCTTCTTTAACTATAAAAAATTCTATATAGACATAAAAGTAGGGAGAATATTATTATGAACAGACACATACCCATCACCCAGCTTCAAAGCTGCCAGCATTTTACTGCGGGTGTTTTAAGTACAGGATGGGTGGCTACTTTGGGGGCTGTAGTAAAGGGGATTTGAACATTGGTTCACCCCTTTTTGCCTGGAGAGTTAGTGATTCCAGTTCTCCTGGGCCAAGTGAGTGGTGACCTGCCTCTCAGCAATGTGACAGGTGTCTAGTGATGCATCCTTTGATCAGTCCCCAGGAGGGCCTGGGTGACTGTAGAAGCCAGTGCAGTATCTCTTGCTCCTTTCCTCCTTCTTATCTGCTTGTTGTCAGACTGTTTGGGACCACAGGAGCTGCTTGGCTCTAATCAGTAGTTGGAGGAGAAAGCGGATTAGGGTGTTAGGGCTGGCCTCTCGGTGGGAATCTAGGTTGTAAAAGCTTTTTAAACTCCTTAATTTTGCATTAATGAGGATAAATGTCCTTTTAATACTAAAACCCTTCCCAAAAAGGACAACAGAGATCTAAAGATTGTGGTCTGGTCATACACCTCCCTTTCTGCCCGTTTCCTGGACTCTGTAACAACCACACAAACCATTGCCCGCATTGTTGGAGAGAGCTGCTTAATATTTCATTGAGACAACCCACATGCCTTCTTGTTTTGTTTTCTGCTTCTGGGAAGGAGGGAAGCCACTCTTTGACAATGGTAATACTTACTTAGCAGAGTTGAGTGAATCATACTTGGGAGCAAGTCACTGTGTTTTAATGGTGGCCATAGATGAGTTTGGCTTCAGTACCTACGATATATAAGGCTCCATGCTAGACCTCATTGGAGACATAGAAACGAGCAGACAAAGCCCTCACCCTCTAGGGCACACTCAAGGCCGTCAACACAGACAGGCACCAGTTTGCTGAGCAGAGAGCTAATTGCTTCCACGAGGGCACAGGCCAGCCAGCGGGCGGAGAGGAAAGGCAGTGAGAGTGTCTTCTGAGAGGCCTGTGGTTATTATGCCTATAGACTCCATTTCCAGGCTCAGTAATAGCAGGAAAGAAATGGGGATCATAAAACCAAGCTAAAAGGCAAGCAGCCGACTAGGAGAAAACGTTTGCTAGTGTGAATATGGGTGCATACTAAAAAACCAAGAACAAAGAAAGGACAAATGGCTCTGTGGAAAATGGGCAGAGGATACTGAGGAGGGCAGTTCCTAGAAGAGGAAATACAAGCGGCTAATAAGCATATGAAGAGCTGCTCAATGTCATTAGTAATTAGGGTAGCACAGATGAAAACAACAAGAGAAGTTACTTTCCACCCACTGGATTATAAGAAATCAAAGTCTGAAAATGCCAAGAGTTGGCAAATGGGGTGGAAGATTGGTTCTTTTAAATATGACTGGTGATAGTGTAAATTAGCCCAGCCATTTGGAGGGCGGTTTGGTGGGGCCTGTTAAAAATAAGGGAACTGCTATGACTCAGCAGCTCTGCTACTTGGAATCTGCTCAGGAAAATCACTTTCATATGGATGTGCATAAGGATGGTCGTTCATGGTCGTTCTTTGCCCCCTTGTCATGCTAGTGGAAACTGGCATGGAGGAATAAATGTTGGCATGCCCATGCTGCAGAAGGACATGTAGTAGTTAGCAATAAGGAGGTACGTTCACGTATCCTGACATGGAAGGAAGTCCAGAACATTTGTTGGATGATAAAAACAACGCCTAGAAAAAGAAATACAGTGTAGTGCTATTTGTTTTTAAAAAATAGAAAAAAACAAAAGGAAGTCAGTGAAAGCAGACCAAATATGTTGTATCAGTGTAAACATTTTATTTGGATGGTTACCCACAAGGGCTAACAAGGACAGGAAGGGGACTGGGACCCAAGCCTTTGGCTTTATGTGTAATATCTGAACATCTTATACTGAAAATCCTGGTTCTACCACTTAGTATCTATGTGACCTTTGACAATTTTTTTTTAACTTTTCTGTGCTTCATTTTTCTTGTATAAAGGGGACAATTATCATACCTATGTGATAAGGCTACTATGTAGATTCAATGAATCAATATTTTTGAAGTGCTTTGAACAATACCTGTACATGGTAAGAGCTCCACATTTGTCTTATAATACAAAGAAAATAAACAATAGTCCAAATTTGTTTTTGAAAAAGGACCAGAGTTTTGGAAGCAGATAAAGGTGTTGAAAAAAAACTGCAGAGATTCAACTTTAGAGCTGGGATAAGAATGCAGCTCGAAGTTTAAGTACAGATGTAGTATACAGTTGTGAGGGTACACTGCTTTGAGGAGCCCTTCACCCCATGTGAAACTGAGTGTGGTTTAGATGCATGGCTCTTTTGGCTACTGGCCAGGGATACCAAGCAGAGACTGACCAGATCCTCTAGATCCTTTGCTCTGACCCATCTACCTGCAGTATGTGTCCCTAGACATTCTTCTGGATCACTTCCTTACTCCATTCACATCGCTCCTCACATGTCACCTTAGAGAGGACTTCCCTGATCACCCTCCAAATATTTATCACTGATGTATATTTCTTGACAGCAATTAAAAGTATCTGGTACTACATATTTGCTTGTTTATATTCTATATCCCTAGCATATAAGCTTTCTGAAGGTAGTGACTTTTCCTTGTTCGTTGCTATATTCTCAGGGACTAGAACCAGTGCCTAATACATATTAGATATTTAATATACATGTCATTCAATCATTCATGTATGAGTGAATGAATGAATGGATGTTTCGTGGCCTGGAACTCAGCGGGAGGGACAGTTAAGTCTCTTTCTTTGATTCTTAATGAACATACTTATAAGAAAATGTAATGGTTTTGGCTCCCAAATCTGGGGCATGAAATCAGTCATGGTCATGAAACAGTCGCATGTGGGGCTTTGCCCTGGTTTGCTTCATGGCAGGCACTGGTCTCACCTGGAAGCCATCTCATGTCATGTGGAGCCAGATTCTCATGTCCGTCCATTGGATTTGTAGTATTCTTGCTGCTGATAATTTTTCTCAACTGGCACTTAATATTAACATTCTTTTCCCATTCTGCTGCGATGGTTGTATTAATATTGTATGGAAGTGTGAGAAATCCCCCTTGTATGAGGATAGGAGAGAACAAAAGATATGTAGGGGGGTGTGTATTCTCTTTGTATAAGGCTGTTGGAAGTCTTAGACCTTGGACAGAGTTTAGAAGGTAATGGTTCATTTTCATCATTACCATCACTAACATGAATTGAGTACTCACCATGTCAGGTACTGTTCTAAATGTGTACATGTATTAATTCATTTAATACATACAACCCTATATATATAGCACAGACAATACACCCTAACCCTAACTCTAACCTTTCCCTTGCTACTAGTTTGACAGTAAAGTCAACATGTGGCAGGAAGAGATATCAGGACCTAAGAAATAGTTATAAGTTTCCTCCACCTCTGGACTTTGAGATACAGTTGCCACCAAGATGCTGAACTAGCTTGACTGCTGGCTCTCTCCCCCAAGATTGGTTTCAGAAGAATCATAAGAGAAAAACACCAAAGAAAGGGGAGAACACTGTAAGATAACCTAGGGTGATGGGACTACTTTGAGTTGGCGCATGTGGGTTGATGGTTTGGATCTGGGGCAAGAGGCAACCAGCCTTACCTGTGGGAAGATAAATCAAGAGGAGAACTGCTGGTTCCCCTGGACTGTCATGGCTTTAGGACAAGCAGTACCTGTCCCCACATCCATAGTAATTCAGGTGTCCTTGAATAAAATCGAGGCAGTGGAGAAAAGCGGGAGTCTTTCCCTAAATCACAGGGCTGGTGACCTATAATCTAAGGATCCTCAAAACATTGTTTCATCCTGGGGGCAGATTGGAAGCCCTGAGGAGATGTTTTTCAGGGTGGGATGGGTTCGCTGTGGATTCACCCCAGGTCTCATCCGTCCTCCCCAGACCTTTAGAGTGGACAGTCTAAGAATTTAAAATTAGCCTGACATACATACTAAAATATATGAAAGGTGAATATTAGCAAAAAAAACAATAAGAAGAAAACATAAAAAGAACCAAGCAGAAATATTAGACATAAAAAAATATAATGGTTGAAGTAAAGCGTGTAATAGATGGGATTAATAGCAGAATGGATAGAACTTCAGAACAAATTAGAGAGTGAAAGATGCAAATTTAGGAAGGAAGAAGAAAAGGACAAAGAAGTAGAAAATATTAAAAAAAGATATTGAAAATACAAATAGAAGCACTAGCATCTGAATACTAGGAGATATAGAAAAGGAAAAATAAAAGTGGTAGAGGAGGAAGTATGTGGACAATTAATGGAGAAAATTTACCATAATTGACAAAATAAGATGTGACAGTCTGGACCAAAGGGGCCCATGGAATGTCAATGGAGGGAGAGAAGGAAAACCTTACAGCTGGATATATTAGAGCAAACTTTTAAGGATTTCAAAGACAAAGAAAACTCCAAAACCTTACAGAGTGAAAGATCAGATCCTAAATAAAAGAATAGAAGCAGATTGACTAGATAGTTTTCAATAGCAACATTCTATGTAAAAATGCAATGGAATCACATTTGGGTTTTCTATTGTTGCATAACAAACTACCTCCAAAACTCAGTGACTTAAAACAGCAACCATTTTACCATACCTTGTATGAACTACTTCTGCGTATCAGATTGAGCTGCTCTATGTGGGGTTGACAGAGGTTGCTTGGGAGTATTCATCTAGTGGACAGACTTGTCTGGAGGGTTCAAGGGTGGTTCTGGTCAATGCCTGATGTTTTGGTGGGGAAAGCTAGACCCAGCTGACGATGGCCTGCTAGATGCCTCCATGTGTCTTCTCCACCTAGTTTCTTCAGCATGGTGGCCTCAGGGTAGTGGGACTTCTTACATGGTGGCTGGCTTCCTCCAGAGTGAGTGCTCCAGGAATCTCTGGTGGGAGCTGCAAATCTTCTTATGACCTAACCTTGGCAGTCCTAGGATGTCACTGCCCCCACATTCTCTTGCTCTCACAAATCATCAAGGGAGCCTAGATTTAAGGAGAGAGGATTTGAACTCTACCCCTTAATGGGAGTAGTAGCAAGGAATTTGTGGCAATCTATCACAAGTCTACAAAGTATTTTTAAGTATTGAAGAAAGGGAACTTAGAACCTAGAATATTACAACTGTCCTTCAAATATGAGGGTATGAAAAAATATTCTGAGCCATATAGGCCTCTAGATGCTTTGCCACAGAATGAACTTCGCTGGAACTAATTTGGGATAAAATATTTAAATAAGAGCAGAGGGGAAAAAAAATCCAGATTTCAAGAGATAAATGAGATAAATTAAGTAAAGATGGCCAGATTCCTGAGTAAAGTTTGATGTCTAAAAATCAATTAGCTAAGACCAAAGGAAAAGAGAAAATATATCCATCATCATCCAGAATCAAGTCTAGATAATATTATCATGATAAGGGTTGGAAGGACAGAAACTAGGGGACTTGAGAGTGTGCCAAATTTGTTTTCTTACAGGAAGAGGGAGGGGTTATGCCATCAGCTTTAAAAAATGAATTAAGGGGAACATAGAGGAAGTGTGGGATAAATGGAGGGAGTAGGTGACTTGGTGAGGGTCATGCAGCTGTTGGTGGTGGACCCCGGTGTTACACCCAGGTGCTCTGATAGCAGAACCCCTGTGCATACGTGAAGCATTATCATGCTGTGATCTCACTAGCAGAGTGGTCTCGAGGACATGCTGCTGCCGGTCAGTTGTTCTTTTCTCTGTTTTTGGTAATTTCCTTTGTTCCAGGCTGTGAATGGACAGAGGGAGGGCCCTCTCCTGTGTTTGAGCCCAGAGCTGTGAGCCCTCTGGTCACATGGCAGGACGGCCGGTGTAGCAGTGGGTTCCTGGCTTCTTTGCCCCAACCAGAGTCCCATCTCAGTGTGGCCTCAGGGTTTGGCTGTGCAACCATCTTCTGGCTTTTGAAGAACAGGTATGGACAACTGATTTTTGAATCGGGTGCTGGATTTCCAGGGACATGAGAATGGCCAGGAGTCTGTATCTCCAGCCGGTTGGTATCGTTCCACCTGCTGGAGCATCCCTCAGTGAGGCGGCCTGGCACAGGGGTGGTCACAAGACCTAGACTTTGTCTAGAACTGCTTCATTTCTCAGAGGGCTCCTTGTTGGTTATCTGATTCTAAACCAGAGTGGGGAAGAAAAAGGCAGAGAGGGCAAGGGACTTGCCAAGGGTTGTGTGGTAAGTTCATGGTGGGGTCAAGGCTGCTGAGGTGCTGCTTTCTCAAGCATGGCATATTCTCCCTTGAAACCACTCCCTGAAGGCCAATTCCAGCCAGCTTTGCCTTGAGTGGCTGGGAAGGCCTCCCCCTGGGAGGTTCGGCCATCAGGGAGCCACAGCATGTGGCATGCCTGCTGCCACCCAGCTATGCCATGTCTAGTCCACTGCGTGCAGCTAGGTGTAGCACATGCTTTCAAGTTGCTATTAGACCACATTGAACTGTTTTTGGTATGAAAACTAGCCCAGAGTTCCTGAAGTCCTATGATGCTGCTGGCACCATCCATGACTATGTGGTTGCCATGCTGTGTGGCTTGCCAAGATCCCTGATGTGTGACCAGAATGCTGCTAGCTGGGGCTATTTCAACACTCAGAGCCAAAGCTGGAACTTGGAGATGTGAGTATATCTTTGCAATCTGGCTCCAGGGTAAAGGCCAGAATCTCGAATGCAAGCGATTTAGTGGGGCTTTCCCATTTGGGAACAATAGTGGAGGATTCCAAGAACCCAGGAATCAGGTTCCAAAGACCCTCAGCCTGTTCCAGTCACCAGGCAAGGGTGGGCCAGGCTGTGAGTGAACCCTTGGAGGGGGGGTACCCCATACACATGCTGTCCTGCTCCCCCACAGTTGTCCAGACCTAGGTTGGGCTCCCCTGTTCTCTGTGACTCGGACCTAGCCTGCGGATTTCAAAGAACAACTGTCAGTGTAACAAATTCTTAAATAAGGTTAAGAAATGAAAGTAGTAGTCTTGAAGGATGTCTTTCAAAAGTTCATTTTAAGGAATCATTTGCCTTTTCAGATCCAGAAATCCAGTGTCCTCTAAGTTCACTTCCTTCAGGCTCTAAATTCTGAGCTCTGTAAAAAAACAAAAAGCATCTGGTAGTTCAGGTAAAGGACTTTCTAGCATGTTCTGTAAAATTGATAGCCCCATGTTTACTAACCCCGAGTGATGAATGCAGTTGGTGTTTAGGAGACTGATGGGTTTGACTTTGGTATGGCCTGTGCTAACTGACTATGACTGTGTGCTGAAATGCTGTCTCCCTTTGCAGAGTGTTTGTGTTCGGTTCAAACACAGAAGGCTGGATGGCGATGATATCTGGCTCTTATCTAACTCTTCCTGATCACCCCTGCTTAAACTGGTTGTTTTCTCCCCTGGACGGCCAATCCCCAGACTTTTGAAAGCCAGTGTTCTCTTTTTAAAAAATGCAAGTCTATTTTTCATGGTTTAAAAAAAGCCAAAAAGGCCCTCTATGAAAGCACTGGATTCTACCCTCCCTTCTTATGTGTGTATCCTGTAGTGTTTTCCTTCATTGAGTTTCCTGGAAACAACAAAGACCAAAAATCCAGCTCTGGGTGAATACACTGTCCATTTTTGGATTGCAGATTGAGGGCCTCAGGCTTTCCTGTCCACCTTCTCCCAGACATCGTGGAGGCTGGCAGTGTGGCAGGCAGAACTTCCCGTGCCTGGTTTGAAATCCCAAAGGGGACACAGGTGGGCGTGGCCTTGGGTGATTTACAGGCCTCCGTCTATTCCTGTATGGCCAAAAGGACAGATGCAGGTAAGTCTTTCTTTTATTGGCTCTTCAGACTTCTTCTAGTACCTCCTAAGCTCCAGCTCTGTTTGAGGACCCAAGGGGCGCACATAACCAGCAGCCTTGGCATCCTGTCTATAGTTCTGCTGTAAACATGAAAAACAGCCTCCTTCCTATAGGTGAAGCCCCTCCTCTGGGAGCTTACAATCCAGCCGGCCAAGTTCTGTCCCTGACCACAGTCTGTGCTTTTCCTCTTTAGGGCCAGGTAAGGGAATTGACTCTCTCTAGTTGGCTGATTTCTGTATAACTCCATGACCAAAAAATAGATTAGTAGGTTTTCGGGTTTTGTGTTATTATGTGTTTGTCAGTGGAAGTTCCATCCGATCTGATTAGGAGTGCTGTCTTTCTGTATTCAATGTAAAAGAGTCACAGTAAGGTGGAGGCCTCAGTCTAGGGCAGGGCTTGGTAAACTTTTTTTTGTAAAGGGACAGAAAGTAAATATTTTAGACTTTACAGGCCATATAGTTTCTGTCCTAACAACTCAGCTCTGCTGAAGCATAGAAGCAGCCATAGCCAATACATAAATGAATAGGGGTATAGCTGTGTTTCAGTAAAACTTCATTTATAGACACTAAAATGTGAATTTCATGGAATTTTCATGTGTCATGGAATTTTCTTCTCCTTTTGACTTCTCAACCATTTAAAAGTGTAGGAACATGCTACTGGATAGTAAAATGCTGCAGCCCCTTTGGAAAATAGTCTGGCAGTTCCTCAAAAGTGAAATAGGGAGTTATCACACAGTTCTACTCCCAGGTACAGACCCAAGAGATCTGGAAACACATGCCCACACAAACACTTCAAACAGATTTTCTTAGCAGCATTATTCATGATAAGTCATAATTCCAAAAAGTAGAACCAGTCCAAATGCCCACCAAATGATAAATGGGTTTTAAAAATGCGACATATCCATATAGCTTAAATGCCACACATGGGAGTGAAAGAGAGGAATGAAAGAAGCCAGTTCCAAACGGCCACATGCTGTCTGGTTCCATTCCTAAGAAAAGTCCAGAACGGGCAAATCTGTAGAGACAGAAAGCAGATGAATGGTTCCCAGGGGCTGGGCGGAGCCCCGAGTGCTAACAGGTGCAAGGTTTCTTTTTGGAGTGATGAAAATGTTCTAAAATTAGATTGTGGTGATGGCTGTACAACTGTGAATATACTAAAAACCAGTGAATTATACCCTTTAAAAGGTTGCTGTTTATGGTGAATTAATCTCAATAAATCTATTATTTCAAACAAAATGTAAATGCTGGTCTTAGCTCCTAGACCACACAAAAACACATGGTGGGGTGGATATGGCCTGTGGGCTATTGTTTGTGCCTCCCTGGACAAGGGGAGAATTGGGGCCTGCCTGCCCAAACAGGGTGGTTGCAGGATGGGGGTTTCATCTGATCTTCATGGCAGGCTAGCTGAGCGAGTCCACTCTGGGAGTCCCGTCCTTGTTATCAAGGGGAGTGGAGAATTCATTCATCTTACCTGAATTCTCTTTGTTATCACATCTTTTTTCTTCCATCAGTTAGAACTATTACAATTCAACCCTGAGTTTAAAAATTCTGGCCAGCTTTGTGCTATATGCAGTTTGTTCCTATTTCATGACAGTCTTAAGAGATAACATTTCAAGGACTGTTTTTATGTTGTTTTAGGTAGTAATTCCTCTTAATGCAAAATTATCTGAAAGAGAAAAGTGAAATTCTGCCAATTTTGTTTGCACATATTTTATGGAAAAAAGTGTTCTAAAGTCAAAAGTCGTTCAAAACCTTTTCTCCCAAATTTTCAACTAAAATCAGTTCTTCAGGAAAATGTGCTAAATTTATTCTGTGACACTTAATTTTCCCAATACACCATCTCAGAGTGTAAATGTCAGGGAGCTCACATGGACTTTGGAGTCCAGCCTACTGGCCTGGGTGAGAATTTAGCCCCTCTTCTCCTTCCGGTGTCGCCTTGGACAGGTTGCTTTTCTTCCTGAGCCCTTGTCACCATCCAAAGTGAGGGCAATGATATGTTTCTCATGGGGCAGTTGTGACACACTGGAATGGTGCCTCTAAAGAGCCTGGCTCTTTCTACACTGGTGGTTTTCTAATCAAAGGCTATTCCCTTGACAGTGGACTGTCTTGTGCCTGGATGTAAATGTGCTTTCTCTGCAGTAAGTGAAGGGCTAGTCAGATGGGAAGAAAGTAGGTATTAGGTTCCCTCTTCACAGAGCTGGTTGTAGTCTCTGGTTCCAGATTGGGGCTGCTGGCTGTGCTTACTTGTTCTGTGTCCATGGTCAAAGTTGGTTGGCCTCCATCCTTGACACCTCCACTTGAAGGGACAGGTGGAGGACATGTTGCTTCTGGTAAAGAGTCATGGTGAAAGGCTTGATATGGCAGAAAGTAAAGGTTATTGGCTTTCTAAGATTGTTTTCAGTCTTCTTGCTTCCAACCTCCCAGTAGGTAGGAAGGTTACACGCTGACCTCAGTTATTTCAGATCCCAGCAGACTGAGAAGAACAGGCTTTTTGGCCAGATCTTGTGAGACATGGAAGAAAAGAGATTTCTAGAATCATCCACAGGCCTTGGCCTCAATCCAGAGGAGGAAATCATCCCTTCTGTGCTGAGTCTGGGAGCTTTTCCCCTGCTGGTGGAGGGAGGTTAAGAAAAACACCATGGATATAAGGAAGAGGTGGCACTTGCTGAAAAATGAATGAAACCTCCACAGAGAGTCAAATACTTGGACTGAGTGAGGTCTTACTCTCTGTACGTCATTGTGTGTTGTTGTGTAACAAATCACCCCAGTGCTTAATAGCCTCCAGCAGCAAACATTTATTATCTCTCATAGTTTCTGAGAGTCAGGAATCTGGATGTGTCTGGATGGTCTGGTTTAAGGTCTCTCATGGAATTGCAATCGAAGTGTTGCTTAGCTGGGTCTGCAGTCATCCAAAGGATTGGCCAGGCTTGGTGGATCTACTTCTCAGCTCATTTACGTAGCTTTTGGCAGGAGGCCTCAGTTTTTTGCCACATGGACCTCTCCACAGGGCTGCTTATGACATGGTGCCTGCCTTTCCCCAGAGCAAGTGATCCAAGACAGAAGCTGCAGTGCCTTTTTATGACCCTATATGACCCTTTTTATGACACAGGACCCCTTCTGCTTTATTTTCTCAATTAGAAGCCAGTCCCCCAAGTCCCACCCACACTCACAGGGTAGGGGAAATTAGGCTCTACCTTCCAAAAAGGAGAAGTCTCAAAGAATTTGAAGACATATTTTTTTAAACCAGAATACTCTCCCCTTGCCCTGTTGTGACCTGTGCCCTCTGAGTCAGCCAACAGGCCTAACTTCTGCTTTCCTTGGACCCCAGTTCTCAACATCAGCACCTCAGTTCAGTTGGCAACCTCCATGCCTTCAGGATTCCAGCCAGCGCAGACTCCAGACCCTGCGACTCCAGTCACCTACTTTCCGTACTTTGACAGGACCTACCTGGCGGTGGCAGCATCACTCAATGGGGGCAACGTGCTGGCCACATTTGTCCACATGCTGGTACAGTGGATGACGGATCTAGGTAAGGTGTTGCCCACACAGTGATGTGTTCCCTGCTTGTCCTTGCGATGTGGCAGTATCTTGGTGCTGCCTGTGTTATTTAAGCTTCTAGATTCATGTGTCAGATCCTGCCCAGCTCCACTTTCCTTCCTTCTTTGGGGATCTGGGCCTGCAGCCTTTTTTCTTCTCATCTTCTGAGCTGCTGTCACCTATTTTTTTCTGAGGGAGCACTTTCTCCTCTAACACTGACTAGTCCCTTGGCTTTCCTGTGCCCCCTGGTTACTTTGTTAGTAGGTCACTCTCCCTTTCTGATGACTACAGACAGCTGAAAATAAAATGATCAAACATGGATGAGTGAAGAGTGTCTTGGTATTTTACATTATTATAAAATCCTTATAGCACTGATTCCTGGCAAGTGGTTCCTGGCTCCCTTTCTTGGAAGGGATCCCTGAGAACTCTGATACCCTCCTGCTTTCATCAGGGTAGAATAGATTGGGCCTTTCTCTGCTCTTCATTTGCAGAGAAACATGTAACCTCCTTCCAGGAGAGGTTCCCTTTCCAAGCACTTGAGGTAGAGATGAAATTTCTGGTCAGCCATGCAGGAATAGGGAAATCACTAGTCCACCTGTTGGAGCTCTGAATCACGTCACTCTGGGAAGCTTTTGGCATAGTAACAAGGTGAGACACAGGTAGTAGGGAGCACATGGGAAGGTCATACTGCTTGTGCAGACAGGTGTTGCTGACATGTCCTTTCCGGCTGGCTAGGGATGTCAGGATTTCAGGGGAATTCTGCCCCCTTGGCTGAGATCCCCTCAGGAATGTGTCATTAAAAGAACAGAACTCTGATTTTATTTTGCCTGTGTCAGAAAAGGTTTTCAAGATGCAGAACCAGTTATCAGAATCTTTAGGCAAGCCCTATATTTAGATACTGGTTTAACTGGTTGTTTATGACAACTATGAATTGTTGACTGAGTTGACCGGTATTTTCTTTACACAGAAGTGACTTGTTATTTTTACCCCTGAAAGAGACGGTAATATTTAATTTCTCTGTAAGAACCTTTGAAAATGAAAAGTCTTTTGCATTGTCATGGTTCTTATTTTGGTGAAACTGAGGACTTTGAAGGCTAGTATTGGATGTAACTTAACCTTTTAAGAAATTTCTACAATTACGTCATTTGATTAAAAAATATATAGATGCAGGGGTACCTGGTGGCTCACTTAATTAAGTGTCTGACTCTTGATTTGGGCTCAGGTCATGATCTTGGGATCCCAGGATCAAGCCCCACATAGGACTCTGCACTCCACATGGAGTCTGTTTGAGGATTCTCTCTCTCCCTCTGCCCCTGCCCCTGCTCATGTGCACTCTCTCCCTCTCTCTAAAATAAATAAATAGGGGTGCCTGGGTGGCTCAATTGGTTGTCTCACTCTGGATTTTGGCTCAGGTCATGATCTCAGGGTTGTGGGATCAAGCCCAACGTCGGGCTCCGTGCTTAGCAGGGAGTCTGCTCAAGATTTTCTTTCTGTCTCCCCCTCTGCTCCTCCTCCCCTCTCTAAAATAAATAAACAAATAAATAATAAGAAATATATAGATACAAATACAATAGGTTGTTGAGATAAGAGACATTACACTTATTAACCAGATATGGAAATATTAAAGCACAAGATATAAAAATAAAACTCTCTCTCTATTCATAATACCCTAGATTTGCATTATCTTACAGAAGTTAAAAAACATGAGTTCCACCCTCATGTGGCTTAGAGCAGGGACTCTGAAGCCAGGTGGCCTGCGTTTGAATCCGGGCCCTGACACTTTCTTGTGCTTTAGGGCAGGTTACTTATCCCCTCTGTTCTTCGCTTTCCTCATCTGAAAAGGGATTATCCCAGATCTACCCTGAAAGACTGTGAGGATCAAATGAGTTATATTGCAAAGCATTTAGAATGATGTCTGGCCCATAACAAGTGTGATATAACTGCTTGTTAAATAAGCATTGTGTGGTGGTGCGACCCGGGAGAGTGGCCTCAGTTCTCTGTTCTGTCAAGTTATTACGTGGCCTTGGCAAGTCCCTTCCCTTCTGTGTTTTTTCAACTCTGATGGTCTGTGATTCTAAGCCTTTGATGTGACTATTTGGCAACTCATAGCATTTGATCCCCTCCAGTAGATTTGAATAAGGTGGTAAGCCAAGGAATGGAGAGACAGGTCTAGAAGCCAGGTCTCTTGGGCCTTCAGCTAATCTGTTCCTTCCTTCAGGTGCCTCTCATGGCCCAAATGTTTCCTAATGAGGAAGAACACTTTATTTTAACATTTCCTTAACATTCTTTAGGGAATTTTTATTAAGGACATACAAGCACATAGCTCATTGTTTTCTGCTTTTAACTATAGACTTTCTTTGGGTTTTGGCAGTTTTCCACTAATGTCATTTTTCTGTTCCAGGATCCAATTCAGGATACCACATTGCATTTAATCATCATATCTCCTTAGTCCCTCTGCTTTCTATTTTTTAAAGTTTTTATTTTAGTAATCTCTACACCCAATGTGGAGTTTGAACTCATGACCTTAAGATCAAGATTCAAACACTCTACTGACTGAGCCAGCCAGGTGGAACTTTTCTATTTGAAAGCTTTCTATTTGATTGATCTGTTTTTTTTTTTCTTTTTCATCTCCTTTCCCTTTTTTCCCACTAGTTTCATGGTTTTATATTCTTTATCTATTCTTTTAGAAGTTTTCAATGCACGGTGTTTCCTACGATGTGGGGAGATAATCCCTCTTCTACATTCGGTAGTAGGGTAAATTGGTCCAACTTCTAAGGGAAGAATATGATGTGCATATCTTTTGAACAAATTCTCAAAGGACTCAGTCCTACAGATTTGTATACTTGTACACATGTGCTAGGTTATTCATCAAACATGTGATTTTTCTTAGATTTTAGTAGAATTTCTAGAGGGAGGTAAGACACTAATATTCATTCTGGCTTTTTTTTTTTTTTTTTTTTTAAGTAGGCTCCATGCCCAACATGGGACTTGAACTCACAACCCTGAGATCAAGAGTCACATACTGTACTGACCAAGTCAGCCAGGTGCCCTGATTCTGGCATGTTGAAACAGAGTTCTGCTGATCACATTTTGACTATGATATTTAAATTATTTCTCCCTCTTCCTCTCTGTCTCATTCCCAAGTGTATGTAGTTGAGTTTGTGTGAGTTAAATGTGCTGCTGAGGAGACTTTCATGGTCACACTGGGGTGGTGGCTTTCAGCACTGGCTGCATACTGGAAACACTTGAGGAGTTTAAAACATTGTGGAAACAATGTTGATGTCCTAGTCCTGCCTGCAGAAAGCTGATGATTTGGCCATGAGGTGGGGTGGGGTAGGCATTTTATAAAAACTCCTCAGGTGATTGTTATGCCCTTAAATGTCAGTAAGCACTGGTCTAGAACCTTCTACCTCAAAAGTGTAGTTTTGGGGCCAGCAGCGCTGGCTTCCTCTAGGAGTCGGTAACAACTGCAGAATCTTAGGGCTCTCCCAAGGCATACGGAATCAGAAACTTCATTTTAATAAGATCCCTACTTGATTCATATACATATTCAAATGTGAAATGCATTGGTCTAGACTGGTGGTTCTCAGCCTCTTGCTGAGCACTGGGCTAGACTGTGATCAGCACTGTGGTCCTGGGTTTTTTTTGACACTGCTGATAAGTCTAATAGTAGCTGTGATGATGCTTTTTTGATCAGTGAATGCATTTGCCTCCCTTGGGAGCATAGTTATGGGATGCTTAGTTGTTGGGTGCTTCGTGTTCACAGCAACACTTACGAGATCTCTCTCTGAAGTCTCGGCTGGGGTCTGAAGTGAGAGAGCCAGCTGGTGTCTGGAGCAGAGCATAGCTAGCTAGCTGCAGGAGTCACTGAGCCAGGAAACAGCCAGCCAAGTGAGGATGAGCAACAAGTAGATCTACCCCTGCTCACTGGGAATTCTATACTGTCTTAGCCTACAGCAAGGGTGCATGAACTCACACAGGTCTTTTCTGTTCTTGGAAGGTCTAGAGGTCGAAGAATCCACTGTGTATTCATGCATGATCCAGGCAGCTGCACAGCAAAGAGACACCTGCCTAACTATCACTCCAACGGTGTTGGGCGAGAGGCACCTGCCGGACCAGCTGGCCTCAGTGACCAGAATCTCCTCCTCTGACCTCTCCCTGGGGCACGTGACCCGGGCTCTGTGCCGGGGCATTGTTCAAAACCTGCACTCCATGCTTCCATTTCAACAGCTCAAGGATTGGGGTGTGAAACGGGTGATTGGTAGTGGGAGTGCACTGTCCAGGAATGAGGTGCTAAAGCAGGAGGTGCAAAGGGCTTTCCCCTTCCCAGTGTCCTTTGGGCAGGATGTGGATGCAGCTGTGGGGGCAGCGCTGGTCATGCTCCAGAGAAGTCTTAACCAGAGGGAGTCTTAGTGCATTTTTTGGCCAAAAGACTGTTGCAGATTTTATCTAACTTTCATGACATGACCTTGGGATCATCCTTGAACTGGACAGTTTTGTGGGCAGCTTTTAAGCAAAGCTTACTTTCGGGGAACCATCTTGACCAAGTACCTATCTTCATACTCTAATAATGCAGGCAGGACTCATCAGCTGGATCTCAAATCAGCGCTTCCCAAGAGACTCACTTGGGAATTCATTGCAAATGTACATGTGGAAAAAAGAGGGAAAAAGAAAGAAAAGGAACAGTAGCTCAGCATCATGGTCAGCAGACTCTTCTGTGATTCACCTGTAGACAAAGAGAAAATAAATGTGGACTTCAGACACCAAGAAGTCTCCAATTAAGAAAAGAAGACCTCCCCACCCTGCCCCCAGCTCCAGCTTTTGGAATGATTGTTTTTTGGGGACATGAAGGCCAGACTTGGGTCATATGCACTGTTGGAAAAGTCCTTCCCTACTGGATTGTACCATGTGTCCCTAAGGCCCCTCTCCCATTCTTGTTCTCCCTTGGCCAGAGCTGGTTAGCTGAGGCAGGGCATGGCCCAAGATAGTAAAGCAGACTGGCTGAGATGGAGATGCGTGGCGCATGTGCATGTATGTGCCTGGTGTGCATGGCGATGTGCTTCTCCTTCCAAGGAGAGCCTTCTGTACTGGAGCTGCTCCAGATCCTTAACTTGCTTGAAGTCACAGAGCAGGGAAGTAAAGGCGGGTGGCATGACTAGCAAGGGAGACCACTGCTGTGTGGCCCCATCATTCAGGCATATTGTTCCAAGAGTCTGGGACCCTTTTCCAGAGGTGTGTCTGGGCAGCAGTGTGTTTTTGTCCCTGCACAATCTTGGGAATCTTTCCAAGGGAAGGGATGTGGCTGGGCATGCTCCTGTCAGAGCGGCCAATTTGATCAGAGAGAACCCCTTTATCCTGTGGGTACTAGCTTTTCCTTCTCTTGGGGTAGGCCTTGGTGGGCCACTGTGTTCCTGGCTTGCAGAAACATCCCCCTGGACTCAGCTTCCCTGCAGGGATCCCAGAGCATCTAGGAGAAAGCTGTCATTGCTGCATCTAACTCCAGACTCCCAAGAGTGATTCTAAGGCTCAGGCAGGCCTGACTCTGAGGCACCTGGGCAACTATGAATCTGGTAAACAGTCATGTTGCCTCTTTGTAAATGTCACAGTTATGTGATTGTCTGAAGCTCTTAGATTAATCTTCCTGGCCATGCTGATTGGATTTTAGATACTAAAGCTCACTCTTCCAGAGCCTTGCGCCTTTAATAAGACATACCTGTCTTCTTTGGGATTATTGTAATTTATGGCACAGCTGCAGAGCTTGGTTTGGGAGGCTGGACATAGCCCTGAGGTTGTGCTATAGAAAACCCCTGCCTGTTGCACAGTTCTACCAGGAGAAGTGGCTGAAGATCACTCAGGAAAGTCATGTGAGTTTTCCCTCAGCTAGAATGAGTTGACCCCATTACTCTGGAGCCCCTGTGGAAGGCCTGTGAGAGAGAAGTCACCGCGGGATAGGCCGAAGGATAACAGCCCTGTCTGCTGGGAGGAATCGGCCCTCTGACTTCAGGAAGGCAGACTGTCTTGCGTTCTCAGAGCGCTGTAGATGGAGTCTGTAAATGTAGGATTAGGACCTGGATGCAAGGCCCGGAAGCCCAGCCCAGTGCCCAGTATGGTGCTGGAACTTTGTTCCCTTCCCACATGTCCACTCTATCTCTGAGGGCTGAGTTTTGCCCTGTCCAAGCTCGTCAGCTCAGAGCTCTGCTGCTGTTTTGATTGCACATGACCTAGAGCCTCTGCAGGAGGTGGGTTGAGGACGGCTCCCAGGGCCTCATTTCTTCAGCCTGAAGTCACAAACCACTCACTGCTTTTGCTGTCATTCCCAGAAGGTACCAGGAAGTGTTTGATACCAGCATGATCCCGATATGAGCCACTGGCCTTGAGGACTGTTTGCCTGTGTCCTGATCTTATAGGCCCATGGTAGGCTCGCATTATCCCACCTGATTTGCTTTAGCCAGTAAAAGGTGACGAGAAGAGTGTCACTTGTTCTGTGCCTTCAGGCCAGTTTGTGTAGCCTTTAGGAGCCAGTGCGTGATTTGTCACATTCCCTTCCTTTTGCCACCAGTGACTGGTAATGTCCCAGAGAAAGGCTCTGTCAGTGTGGGTTCCGTGTTAGGACAGTATGGCGTAGAACCCTCACCAAAGAATGAACAACATGCAGTGTGATTGAGAAATAAACCTTTTATGTTTGAAACCCCTGAGATTTGGGGGTTGTTACCACAGCATAACTAGGTGTATCCTGACCACCACAGCCACAGTAGAGACCAGACCTAGGAAGCCTCAGATGCACCCAGCACTGACCCAGACATTTGTTGACACCCATTAGGAGCTGAGTTTACTGTCAACACAATGATGAGTTGCTGAATTTCTATCACTAGGGAATGAAATTAACACTAGCCCAGATTTATGTGTGTGCAGAAGGAGCAACAGTTCATTCTTTATGTAAGTGACATTGAGCTAAACCTTGAGAGTTTCAGTCCATCAATACCAACAACAAACAGTTAACATTTTTTGAGTACCTGCTTTTTACTAGGAGCTAATCTAAACTCCACTTGTTTGGACCTGTTGATCTTTACGGTGATCCTAAAAGATAGGTACTATTATCTTCATTGCTCAGATGAAGAAACTGAGACACAAAAACGGTAAGTAACCTACCTAATATCACAGCTCTAGGATTCAACCCCAGAGCCCACTTTCTTTGGCGTTTTAGGCTGAGAGAGCAAATGTATTGACATGAAAGACTGGCATGAGCAGGCTGTGATGAATTGTCTGGTGTAACTTGGTCATAAGGCATATGAAAGGGTGTGATAGGACTTGTGACTGGAAATGTTGGCCAAACTGTGAAGGATCTTGGATGCCAGATGGAGGGGTTTGGACTTTCTCCTGTGGGCAGTGGAATGGAGGACGGGCTTCCTGGGGGCTTTAGGAGTATAACTGCCAGTGTGCAGACTCTAGATTGGAGAATGGGTGTTGCAGAAGGCAGGAGCCTAACTGGAGGGGCCTAGAAAGCAGCCCATGAGAGGGCCTGAACCAACGTGGAGGCAGAGACTGCCACACATACCCTTCTTTTGGCTCTTGACTGACTAGATCCATATTATGCTTATATGGTTTTCATGTTCTCTATTTTTCTTCTCAACTGCACTGAAAGCTGTTTGAGGGAAGGGTTCCTTTTAAGCTGTTCTCTTCCCTGTCCTCCTTCATCTTGGGCTGATGCCTATGTTTGGAATGTCCCTTCTAGGGCAGAACATTATACCTTGTCCAAGGCCCAGCTCAAATGCCATCTTCCTGCTACAGTCTCCCTGGCAGCGTATTTGTCACTGGATTATAATTGCACCTGGCATCCAGGACAGCTTTCAGTGTTTGCTGATGGCATGGCCTACTGGGGTCTGGCTTGTGCCTATTACAGGGCTCCCCACCAAGTAAAGCATCAGAGAGAGCCTAGCAGGTCTTCCTCCTCATGCATCCTGGCCTCCTTGAGGGCAGAGACCATCTTATTCATCCTACTCAATTACTGTGGGTTTGCTAGTGCCCAGTGGTCTCGGGAAAGAGGGCAGTTTGCACCTGACCTCTTGTCTCAGCCACAGTTAGATGGACAGATCATGTCTTTGAAATTGAGAGATTCTGGGTTTAGAGATACTCACTGTGTGAGTCATGAAACATTAAGCAAATCTTGTTCTTTTTTCATTAAAAAACAATTAGTCAGAACCTCGAGCTAATGGCCGGATATAGCTCAACAGTCAGCAGATGCGGTTCTCATTTGAAATAATGAGGATGAGAACCATAATCCCCCATGCCTGTCCAGAGCTTTACCAGCTCACAGAGACTATTCACGCCCGGTATCCTTATTAATCCTCAGAAAAGCCCTGTAAAGCAGGTAGGGCAGGTGCTTTTGCCCATTTTGTGGATGGAGGAAGCAGGCCCAGAGCTTCGGCTGTCAGCCCAAATTTATGCAGTGGGCATCTAGCACAGCTGGACCTTCTCTCCCGCCTCCATTCTCTGCCCATGCTCCTGCCTTCCCATCTCTTCTCCCTTTTGTTCCCAGTCCCCACCCTGGGTCCCAGCTGTGCAGAGCAGGGCCCAGTTATTGGGCACTGAGTGGATGCCTTATCCCTCCCTGGCTTAGGTGGCTGCTCCACCCACTTCTGGAGTATGCTGACACCTCTCGCAGAGCTCTGCCCTGACTCACATGGGTACCCGGTGATGCTAATACACAGACCAAAGGCAGAAAGGGAAGTCATTTTCTTCCAGGCTTGCTGTTTGCCATCTGCATCTGGGATCTCTGAAACCATTTAAAATCTGGGAGGCGGGGCACCTGAGTGGCTCAGTGCGTTAAGCCTCCGCTTTTGGGCTCAGGTCATGATCTCAGGGTCCTAGGATCGAGCCCTGCATCAGGCTTTCTGCTTGGCGGGGAGCCTGCTTCCCCCTCTTTCTCTACCTGCCTCTGCCTACTTGTGATTTCTCTCTCTCTCTCTCTCTGTCAAATAAATAAATAAAATCTTAAAAAATAAAAATAAAATCTGGGAGGCAAGACACAAAGATCAGGGACGTGAAATGTCAACACAAAATTTAGAAAGCTCAAGACAAGACAAGACTAGTAGAGTCGGCACTGTCCTTGGGTGGGGTATAGGTACAGGTTCCTACCTGGTTCCTCCCAGAAATGCCAGGCTGACAGTTTTGGTAATCACGCTTTTTCAGCACAGGAGAGTGTGCTGGTCTCTAGCTGTACCAGTAAGTCTGGCTTCAAATCCAGGACCCAGATGGATGAAGAAAAGTAATGAGGATTCTCTCATCAGAGTCAAGGGCTCAGTTTAAATCAATGTGCCCCCTGGTGGTAACTCTAGGGGAACAGCCACTGTGACGTGGGTTCCAGCCGACTTGGCCCATACACTGGCTGGTGAAGCCTTTAGTACTTTCCTCCACTGCTCTTTGTCCCCATCAGACCTGATGGGTCTGGTAGGTGCTCCCTCCCAGAATGCATCATTTAGACATGATCTACTTACGAAGAATTTTAATAGGTATATCATTACATAGATTCAAGAACACCCTTAAAGAATTATGGAAGCTGGGGAGAGGGGAGTGGGTAGAACACCTTGTTGCCCATTATGGCCCAGAAAACTAGGCTGATGACAGCAATGCTCACCTCTAAGGCGGTGTCTGTGCCACCATTTCATGAGTTTTACTAGAACCACTCAGTGCAGATTTTACTCAGATAAAACAATGCCAATAAATACAGTGTGCTACCCTGGGTAAGGCATGGAACTAGGCTTAGAGAAGGAAAATTGAGGGGGCGAGAGCCCTGTCACCCTGAAGCCATTAAAGTCTGTGAAATAAGACACAAACATCAGAGATGTTAAAACTCAATACAAGCTTTAGGAAGCTTCAGACAAGACTGGTATGGTTGTCCCTGTCCTTGGGCAGGTTACACAGCCTGTCTGCACTTCATTTCCTGATCCATAAACTGGGGACAAAAATCACACTTTCCTCATGAAACTGTGAGAGTCTGATGAATTAATGCTC